AGCTGTCTACGCAAGATACTCAACATCCATTGGCCGGATACCATCAGCAATAGCCTTCTGTGGGAGAGAACAAACCAACTTCCAGCTGAAGAAGAAATTAGAAAAAGACGATGGAAATGGATAGGGCATACATTACGCAAATCGTCAAACTGCATCACGAGGCAAGCCCTAACTTGGAATCCTGAAGGGAAGCGAAAAAGAGGAAGGCCAAAGAACACATTGCGTCGGATAATAGAAGCAGATATGAAAACGATGAATTACAACTGGACGGAGCTCGAAAGGATTGCCCAGGACAGGGTTGGATGGAGAATGCTGGTGAGCGGCCTATGCTCCTTCACGAGGAGTAACAGGCGTAAGTAAGTAAGTGATTAAACTCAGTGATTATTTTAGAAAATTATCAACTTGAACAATTTTAACTAGTAAAGAAAAAAAGAAAATCCTAAGTGCATAATGATGCAGACTACATGGTTGGGGTCCACGTGACTATCGTAGCCAATGGTCTGAGATCAATCGGGTTTTATATGCAAAGATCGATGATGGCTAACAGTGGAAGCCAGGATGCGAGTTTCGTCCTATTCAAGATTCGTCAGTTGGATATACATGTATCCCTAAGTTGATGTTCAATCCGAAAATCGAAACGTGAGTCCTGGATTCCACTGCTAGACACCACTCATCTATGATTATAAACCATGTGACTTAAAGCAATATCGAAGCAATACGCATAGGATGCACATATAGTGACAAGAGACTGATAAATTGCAGTCCAAACAACAAGTGAGTGTAGATGAATCGAATTTCAACAAAATAGATAATCAGCAATGTGATACAATATTCTTTATTGGCTAAGGCAGCTTAGAAGTGAGCTAATAAGAAGCCTACCCAATGATCATGAACAGTGGTAGGTAGCGAAAGCAGAAGAGATAGAAATGGCAGTAGCGGTAGGTAACAGTAGACTTATCAAGGAAACGGATATTAAAAATTAGGCTGTTGCTTAGACCATTCCGGATAAAAAACTGGACCATAGTTCAACTAACATTCAACCACACCTCTGTTATTTGCCATTTCCATGCAACCTAAATTGCAAACTCTCAATAAGGTTGAAGCGGCCATAAGCAATCTCAAGTAAGGGGAGCAACAGGATCTGATGGATTAACCGCCGGAATTTTTTGGGTTAGTGGTCCAGTTTTGTCAGTTAAACTAACTGAAGTTTTAACTAATATCTGGGAACTGAAGGTAACCCCATCTGACTGGTCTCCCAGTTTATAAAGAAGGATAAAAATCCTCTTGCGATAACCACAGAGGAATCAGTTTAACAAATCAAGTATCTAAAATATTACCCTCAAACATTATTGTGAACAGAAAAACAAGAAGCCCTGACAAACTACGAAAGCTGTTTTTCGGGACGTTATTCCATTTTATTCAAGGCTTGTAAAACAAATGACATTTATTTTTGTTCCTATTCTATTCTGCAGAACATAAGCTTTCGCTCAATGTATGATTCACTGCCATACCCTTTTTTGTTCCGAAGCTATTGTAATTTAAACATAATATTTTGCACCCTATTTCCTACTCTAATCCCCAGCTTTGGACAAAATATTATTTTTCCAAATTATTATACGTTTTGGTCGGGTTGTTCACTTATGTATTAGTGTACTTTTTACACTGAACTGAAATCAGGATATCAGGAATAGATTGAGTAGTGTTCCAGTTGTCCTGTCTTCTCTCATTCGCGTGCTTGTCAGCCAATCAGGTGATACAATAGTTTCCTCTCTACTCCCTTCCGAACTCACGCGTACTAGCCTCAAGGTCGGGTCGGTCAGCCTATCGTCCAAGGTCTTAATCTATATTAGAAAGTAACCTCAGCACCAAGAGGGGGTAGACAGACCAAAGTACATAACAAGCATACTTCGAAATCTAACTAGAGCTCGTGAAGAGCTGACCCGAGAAACCAGGCTGGTTTCAGACCTAGACGTCAATGTATGTACAGACCAAATATTCACCCTCCACCAGGTTCTGAAACATAGATATACTTTTCAACGTCCATCTATGGTTGTATTCCTTGAACTTAAGTCGGCATTCGACTCTATTGGTCGGGAGGTTCTATTGCAGTGTCTATCATTGAGATATGTACCAAAGAACTACATCAACCTTGTACAAACTCTCTATTCAAACACTACTGGTGAAGTGAGAACTTATAGCAAAACGTCATCAAAATTGGGTACTTCAAATGATGTTCATCAAGACTGTCCTCTCCACCTTTTTACTTGACTTCGTCATGATTCCTCCAGAGACAACGGTTTCATCGTTTGACTTTTCAGGGGTTGATTTTCTAGCATGAGATTCACTTATTCATTGAGTATAGGCAGATGACATAGTTCTACTTGGTGGAGACGCTGACAAAACGCAGTCTCCTGATTCAGACATGTTTAAATAGGATTATCTCCTTCCAAATGCTAAATGTTGCTTCACTACCGGACCCAGTCAACTCTCGAATTTATCATATAGAGTCAAGTTAGTAGCTCAGTGTGTTTACCTGTTCACTCTTACTGGTAGTCTTATCAGTCTCGATGGTTTGATCTCTCGTGAAATCTCGGCACCAATTCACAAAGCGTCATTGACTTTCGCCAACTTGCGTCATTTATAGTGTAAGCAAGATATATGTCTACTCAGAGAACCTGTTCGATCCATCCTCATCTATAGCTGTGTGAATGACCACTATGATGACAGATTATTCGTAGATTATCAGTATTAGATTTTAGGTGTCCTTCAAGTATCACTCGTGTATTGTAGGATCACCGAATGAACAAAATTGGGGTAAGATACAAGGCACTATGTATATACGAAAAATCGATTGATCAGGTAGTGAACCTACATCACTTGGCACATTTCTGACATATACTCGACCACCGTGTACCTCGAGGGGTGGTAATGGGTGCATCAACTCTTTGTCTTTCCCCAAATTCTGAGCGTTTCAATCTCACTCATTTACATTCTCATTACCTCATCAATTGATTTGATATCTTCATCTGGTGCAATTCACTTTACATTTTAGCATTATTCATTCATTAGTCCTGACATACATGAGTAATACTTCGAAGACACTTATGATCTTCTGTGGTCACGTTTTAAATCAGTAACTTAATTTATCATGCAACAGCACAATATGCTCATATTTAATTATTTTGTTTATTTAAACATATAAATAATGGTACAAGGAGACACCAAATAGATATGCGCCACATAAATCACTCGATTTATGTGAGGGCCCGGATGTCCGAACAGAAGTAGTTGGTTTTCTTAGGGGTCATGCCCGGAGCCTTCGACCTAAAAGTTTGATCGACAAGACAATGGAGCAACGTAAGGAGATGAAATCCCATTGTAGCTGGTAACCAACGATTAGTTCATACGCTATTTGTTCCATCACGATCGTGAAGCACATGGACACCATTTGTTTGGAATCAGGGATTTCCAATTCCCGTAGGTGTATCCTTCGTGTCCACCAAGACCGCCGCCACGAAGAGGCAATGAGTAGGACTTCTCTGGAAGTGGTTGTATGCATGTGGCCATGTGAGAGCATTTCGAGAGCCAGAGCTGACTCGCCCCACTCTCGGCTGTGCCATCTACATTCCATCATTTCATCCTCTTCATCATCAGTAAACATTTAAAACATAGTGATCTCATGAAATGATGATTGCAATTTCACTTGATGAACCCATAACATTAACATATCAATTCAATGTTTAACAATACACAAATAATAATACCAATTGAATAGTAATTAATTATTAATTTATTATAGTACTACTACTTCTAGATAATCAAATGGAGTGATGTAGACAAATGAAAGAAGAAGGAAAAAATGAAGAAATGAGGAAACAGTAAACAATTTGAGAATAGAAGCATAACTAAGAAAGAAGAATAGAAAAACAAAGAAATACAGAAGAGGAGCATATTCTGATTGGTTATCATATAATCATGCTCGTATATATAGATAGATTTATGGAAATGTGTATAAGAAAGAGATGAAGGGAGAATATTTACTTAGCACAATCTTATTTAATAAATATATGGATGAAAAGTATATATTCTACAATGTCCATTCTATGCTCTCTGTTAGGTGAATAAATTAACCTTCTTTTAAAAAAAACAACCGGAAAAAAGAAGAACAAGATTCAAAAGAAAGTCAAACATCAAGCACACAGTATATCCACATCATTCTATTCATGATGCAACCGGATAATAGTAATATTAAGCATCCATTGTTTAAGACAAACATACAAATAGTTACCAAACTGAACATTTTATCACTGTGTATGTGGAATAATTATAAATAGTACTACTACTACTACTACTACTAGTAGTAATAATAGTAATAGTAGTGAGTAGTGTTCACAACCATTGAAAGAAACCACAACCATTTGAAATATGTTGAAGAAATACTAATAAACACACACACACGTGTGTGCATATGTATGTGTCTGTGCGCACATTTTACTAGCATTCACGAGTAACCTAGGTAACTAATGAATAAAATGGTCCAAAAAAAACAAACAAAAGACAGAATATATAGATTTGATGAAGTTGTCAGGCATACTTAACAAGAAGAATATGAAATGTAACAAAAACACAAAAAGAACATAATCATGATATGATTATTTTAAAGGGAAAAATGATCATGATAAGTGAAATGCATTGCGATCAATTTCACATAGTTCCGATAAAATATCAAATCGAAAATGGATAAAAATGGATGGTTATTTCAGCAATAATAATCATAATAGTAATAGTAATGATAATAACAGTAGTAATATATTAAATTGTAAACATTGAAAAACAATGATACTCACAACCGTATTATCCAGTTAAATAATATTCATGAAAGAATCATATTTATATGGTAAAATGTTCTGTAAGAAACTTTTGGATTTTCTTCAGTTCTCATTAATAAAATGAAAGGTAACAAGTTATATTTAACTTTATAGACAATTAGTAAATTAAAAGACCCTTTTTAGACATAAGTCTTCACAAATTATGGATGTTTTGGCAACATGTATGAAATATCTTCCCATGGATGACGATACAATCCTTGATGTAAACGTTTCTGATCCAGGTAATGACCTATAAAAATAAAGATGAAAGAGTATTAACTATAAAGAAATTGTATAAAAATTGACTTTTATATTCAAAATTATTTCTAACTGTATGTATGTGAACTTGAGATTTGTTTAGGATTGTTGATAATTTTAGCAATACAGTTTAATCTACTCAAATATAAATAAGTAGTTAGTTCACCAGATAAAAACGTAGAAAATTAGTAGGATAACGGTTAGCTTAGTTCTCGAGGCAAGAAACTGAATACTGTAAAAAGATGAAAATGGTTTGCAAACGAATTTACTGTCATGAATAGACGCAAAAATGGAACAGGGATAGTGATAAACTAAGAGAATGGAACATAATATTAAGATATATGTTAAATTTGTTGATCGGACTTATTAAATCCAAAATTTCGACATAAGAAATATACATATTAAGAATTTGGAAAGCATAATATTTCCCGAAACAACACATGCTAAATAGAACAAATCAGAAGACTGTCTGATAGTCACAAAAACAACAGTTAGAAAACAGCTAGTTTACAAATAACCAATAAACGACAGGAGGGGTAGTAAATTCTAGTTGCTCATAAGTAGTACACTAATAACACGCAACTTTCACGAAAGGACTGAGTAGATTTTCCGAGAACAGTATAAAAACATGCTCAGAATAACTGCAATGGATCCCCAGATAATTTTTACGCAATCAGAAGTCTGGTTTTTGTACGCGGATAGTTCGATTCCCGCGTTCAGGATCGTGGATGTGCACTGCCGAGGAGTCCCAAGGTACGACGAAACAGCCGTCCAGTGATTTCAGGTTTTCAACGGTGGTTTAACATTGGTCAGTTTATGATCTCCATTGATAATATTGCGGATTATAAGCAGATTTTAAACAATCAGTCGATTAGTGTCTTCTTTAGGTTACTCAAACCATAAGTCCGAAAAACAACGATATATAAAGTCGTACCTTTGGATATGAACTGTTCATATTGTCGAACCTTCAAAAGGATCCAAATAAATTTTTAAGACTCTTTCACATTGTTCCTAATTAAAGTTAGGTTTAAGGGAAATATTCAGTAGCCATAAGGATGCATGAACTTCACTCAAAATTCTAAGAGGCATTATCGGATTAATTCGTCCATAGAATACAACCAAATTAAGGTTTATTTTAGAATTAAAGAAGATTTAATGTAGTTAACACTATTATTTCTACACTATGGCTGCAAAACATAATTTTCCGGTGTCATCTTGAAATATTTACTGTTCGTTATACGTGATATTCGAATTTGGCGCAAAATGTCATGTTCTTAATTCTGATTAACCCATCTCTTAAAGTGTATCAAATTAGTATCAGAAGGGGTTTTTGTGGATATTATAGTAATTTTAATAATTGACATCATGAATTAATTGAAGCTAGACCACTATGGAAAACCTGCAAGCACTGAACGGGTGTTTCGTTCAATTGTGGGACTCTTCAGCAGTGCGTATCCACGATTGTTTGAAAAATCTATTGATAAACAATTTGAATGGAAATCAAGAAATCACAATTTTGACAAAGAATATGTTGATCGATTGATTAGAGAGCAATTTGCAATGGATAATTTGAATTGACAAAACAACTGTCGTATCAGAAGGAATATTGCAATTAATGCTATTTATCATATTATCACGTTCAGAGACATCAATCTGAAGGTGAGTGTGTGTGTGTGTGTGTATGTTTATGCATGTGTTTACGAGCAGTAAGTAAAGAAGGAAGAATAAAGACAATCTCTGAGACCATAAAAGAAAAATTGACCTTAAAATATTATAACTCAGCAGTGTAACTGATAAGTCAATTGATAATCCATTAAGTTCAGCTGTATACATTTATTACCACCTTCATGTTCAAATGAGTCAAATCAGCATGATAACAGTGGGATAACCAATCAGTTTTATTGGGGGTTTCGATTTACTGAAATTTACATCAATGACCTACTGATCAATTCGAATCCTAATCACGTCCCGGTAATCACTTGAAATCTGTTTTGTAATACTTGGCATTTTTTAAACAGTATATATTATTATTATTATTAATATTAATATTAATATTATTATTGTTAGCAAAGATGGATGGTAAATAGCAGTGCAAACAATGACGCGCGTTTCGTCCTATTTGGCACTCGTCAGCTGGATGTGCCTGCATCCCAGAGTTCATGTTCACCCATGGATTCCATTGCTAGCTACCATCTATCTTTGCTTATAATGCTAGTGACTCAAGGCAATATCGAAGCAATCCGCACAGAATGCATATATGTCAATATGAGACTCATCATTTGCAGTTCTAAACATCAATGGAAAGATTCAAACAAACAACATAAAGATCTATTATTATTAACATTTAGTATTTAATGTAAATCAACAGTCTAATGTAATAGTCAAATAAGAATTTGCCGACTTCTCATTCAATATGTGATTAGAAGTGTGGAATCTAAAACAAATGTCTCATTCTATTTGGAACATGTTAACTGTAAGTATTGATGTTTACACCGAAATTTAAACTCAGCACACATACATAGTTTTAAATATCAAAAACAAATTATCCAATGAACTAGAAATTTCAGATAGTCATTAACTTGTATGAAGGTATTCATATGGGTTTATGGGTTCCAGTTATTAATATTTAATACTGAGTTATGAATCAGTCTTGGTTGTTACGTGTTGATCATGAAAAGATGTAGTGAGTAAATCAAGTCATCAAATTAGAAGGCCATGCTGTGACAAACAAAATCTAATGACAACCACATGTGACCGGCCAAGAAACGATTTCATTTACCAAGTGGTATATATATATATATATATATATATATATATATATATATATATATATATATATATCGGTTTAGTCCAATAAACTTCCTTATTTACTCTTAGTCTTCTTATTCAGTAGCTGGTTGATGGATTATGCATAGGAAGTTTGTGCATCAGTGCCAGTCTTGGACACAGCGACGGGGCACAAACAATAAATCAACCAAATTTCAAGCATTCTTATTATGTCGTTAGAGTAGTGGAATCCAAGATAGGCATTTCGTTCATATTTAATACAAGTCAGCTAGTTGTACGCCACGAGGGGAGTCGAATAGGACGAAACACGTTACATCAATCTCATTGTCAGTGATACACATACAAGCCAAATAACAACACACTAAAATCCAATACTTATTCAAAAAAAAAACAACTAAAATTACCAATAAACCCGATTGATCGACCCAAAACAAACAAGCCGTTCAACGTTCCAATGGTAATATACTCTTCAGCTTCTTCTCTAATTAAAATCAAATGGATAAAAAAAATCAAACAAATTACAATTGTTTGAATAGATATAGATATAAATCCAGTCCATTAAATGAAAAAGAATTTGGATACACTACATTTTTTTCTGTTAGTTTAATCTGTTTACAAATTACGTAACCGATAAGATCTGTAATAATTGAGAAAATTTAGAAATTTCACAGGTTGAAATCATGAGTCAATTGAAGCTAGACCACCATGGAAAACCTGGAAGCACTGGACCGTCGTTTCGCCCTAGTATGGGACTCCTCAGCAGTGCACATCCACGGCCCTGCACCTAGCGGGGTTCGGACCCACGACCTACTGGCTTCGCGCGCGAGCACTTAACCACTAAACCACTGAGCCGGCATCCAACGGTGTTAATGTCTAACTTCAACCAATCCACGAAGTTGCGCCACCTGTGAAATTTCTAAAACTCTCCACAAAACCCATTCTGAGAAAATTTATTCTCTTTGTCTTTATATATTGAAACACATAAACACTGGTATAGAAAGATACCGAAATAAATAAACGTCACACCAATCATTGAATTTGTTAATGGGTTCGAGTAATGTTCGGGTGCCCGAACCAAAGTAAGTGGTTTTGTAAGATAGCTACTTCTGAAATCATTGTCCTAGTGATCTAATTCATAACGTAGTGGAGCAACGTTAGAAGATGTGGATCTATGGTAACCGATAGCCGAAAATAGATTTATACACTAATTTTTCCCTCAGGATCTTGGATCCCGTGTGGATCGTTGGTTTAGAATCATGGTTTCCCAACTCCCTTGGATGGACTCTTTATATCCATCGACCCGGTTAAAGCGACAGATATTCGCTTTTAGTTCTCCCAATTTCGTAAACAACACTGCCGCCGCGCGAAGGCAGTGAATAGGACTTCCCTGGGAATGGCTATATACTCATGGGTACATAAGAGTATTTCGAGGGGGAGAGAGAGAGTAAAAAAAACTTCCAAACATCAACCAAACCAGGACATTTGCAGGTTAATTTACTACAAATTAATGGTCATTGACACTCATTGAAACGAGATAAGAATTAATAGTAAAAACACTTTCCAATAGTTGAATATCTAGTGTAATATCTACCATTTCTGAGCCTTTTTTTTTCGTTCATTTAGTGGGTGAATATTTCATTAAAATTTCATTTTAACATATAAATGTCCCTTTATTCGTAGTTGTTTTTCTCATCTATCAGGTTTTCAGTGCATTACATTGAAGTGTTCACAGAAGAAGTACGTAAATAGATCTTATATGTAACAGAACCGATCACAATGGTGTAGGTGTATACACTCTTTGTCTTCCGTTAAACTACGAGATTAAAATCGCTTCATATCTTTCTCTCTACGAACTGATTCTTTCTTCCTTTACTATATCCTTATATGCAATCTTTCTTTTATATATTATCACTATTAACTTAACTACTCCTATGAATCCGGTGTTCATCTCGTTGTTCTAATCAGGTGTGGTATCTTGGACCAATGCATATATGCACCTATTCCTACGTTGTAACTGACTGACTGATTGATGAAAGACATTCCAATTTGTAGAGAAAACAGGAATCTTTTTAGTGATATAGCTTTGTACTTGAAATTTCAGAAACTTTTAGAAAACACAAAAATCGATTTTGAAAAAAATCAATAACCGTCTAATCAGGATCATAAAACATGATCTATTATCTGTTTAAGAGAACACCAACTGGTAGAAATTGTTATATCCTAGTGAAGATTAGATTACAAGTATCTTCCAAGAACTATTACGCGACTAATAATTAATATATATTGTTATTGTATAATTATTCAGTAACTAGATTATGTATATCTATATTCCTCTTATTATAAGCTTCATTTTGGCCTATAGATTATTATTATACGATTTACTGTTCTTAAGTTATGTTCAGTTTATTGATTACAGTCTCTCACGTTTACAGTCACTTTTTGGCTTGATCTTGTCATTTCCTCTTTTATGGGTGGTGTGATCTGCTTGACTGGTATATAAACTAAGTATGCTTGAAATAAATGATTCGCATAGTAGAAGCTGTTATTAGCGTTCTGGACTTAACTGAACAGGCTAGGTGAATGAAGGACCACTAAGGACGCTAAGCTGTTCATACCGATTGAACGTCATTGGTTTGGCATAGTGCTAAGATTGCATAAGTCGTATTTCGATTAGCAGATAAATCATATGATAACTAGCCGACCTTAAAAACACAACAGAAATACTGTCAGTATTTTCCTGTTTTCTCTAAATCTTTCAGAGGAATTAACAACAGCTCTCAACAATAAACCAATTTGTTGTGTTATATGCCTATATAAGTCAATTAAAAGCAAAACAAACACAGCTTTGGATGTAAGCACAGGTGTTAACAGCAGAATCATATTAGATAGCATAGCGACTCACGTGCGATTGAGTTTATTCTCATTTAACTCAGTTAAGCCCTTTTGCTAACCCATTTAGCGGACAAAGTCATCCGCACTATAACAACTTATTGTACTCTTATTATTTTGTGCTTGTATGAAATACATATGCTTGAATATTGCTTACGGCCTACGCATTTATTCACTCTGCTAGTCTTACTACTAACTGATTATTTGATTCGATTACTCATTCATTTCACATGGTATATATATGTCCATGTTATTCATATTCAACACACACGCACTCACTCACACACTCTCGTCTTGCTCTTGCTATGGCTCTCGCTCGCTTGCTTGCCTTTCGGCACAACTCTTCTATGCTTGTTTAACGCATCTGTACATTTGGATATATATGTGTGGTCTCGTAATAAACGTAATCAATACTTCGTATTTGCCTTCTGATTAATAAACCGTTGGGACGTTATATAGAACGGTTATCAAGACGAGCTGTATACGAAATTTAAAGATTATATCGACTACCGACCACCACAATAGTATAAGGTAACTTCAGTAGTGATCACAACCAGATCATTTACATAAAGATATATGGGAACAGTATTCTTCAAAGACTTAATCTGATTATACATAATCAAGAAATTAATCATTAATTTAGTTGATATGATTAGATTCATGAATAAAATAATTTAAAAAAATACTTACCGTGTGAAATGACCGGAGCTTCTTAACAAATCTACCATTGCTACACCAATCATACCATCAACATTTAATATTAAATTTGGACGCTATAAAAAAACAAACAAATATGATAAACAATAAACAAATAAACAAATAAAAACGAATAGAGTTATAGTCCGTCAGCAACAACAACAACGACGACGACGACGACAAAAGAAAGAAAGATTAAGAGTTCAATAAGCAATTTAATTGATTTGAATTCTTTCTTTTTTTCTTACTTTTCTTTTCTTTTCTTTTTTAAATACCATAAGTCAATTAAATCTAATACATTCACTCTTCACCTACTCAAATAATCTTTATTTTCTTCTTAACTGAAAGATAACCACTACTACTACTACTACTACTACTACTACTACTACTAACAATAGATAAATATAATGAATATATTAAATTAACATGAATGTTAATATGAATGACTTAGTATTAAGATTGAATGATTAGATACTGACAACTTTTTTAACTGTTTTCTAACACGTAAATAGAAGAAAAAAACAGAAGATATGAAGATCCACTTAGTGTTGTTTACTTGTATCTTCTCATTATTGTGTTAGGAGTACAATTGATCAGTCTCTTATTGGGATATGTGCTTCCTGTATGGAATACCACGATATTGCTTTAAGTTTCAAGCTTTTATAAGTAAAGATGGATAGTGACTAGTAGTGGAATCTAAGTTGACGCATGTTTTGTCCTATTTAGGACTCGCTTGCAGTTGAATGTACCTGAATCTCAGAGTTGGTGTGTCACTCTGAGACTTGAACCCAGTACTGTTCGCTTCAAACACCATCGTGTTATTCACTTAGCTACTGAGTCCTCATAGCTACTAACTTGTGAAGTTTTAAATTCACTTGGTGTTGTTTACTTGTATAGAAGAAGTGGTATTTTGTAAGTTATTACTTTATTGACGATGATATATATAATAATATCTTTTTGTTATATCCCGATGAGTACAAAAATTATATTTCTTACGTTTCGTGACTTCATCTAAGCCACTTCTTCAGAGTAAATAAATAACCAAAATTCAATTAACACAAGTTTAAATACTACAAAGGAGATCAAGTAGAGTATTTTTAATACAATCAAAATCATACTAGGTCTGAATATGTCAAGGTGAATTTGTATAACCTGTCACTGTATATTAATTTGTGTGTTAGAATTTGAGTATGAAAAATGTATACATTTGTAATATGAAGTAGTAGAGTGAGTGTTTATAGGTTGTCTGGAAAACAAATAAGGTCAAAATGTGATTGTTTGGATAAACAATACAGGTTAGATGAATATTCAGGCCTTCTTTCCTAATGAGGGCAGAGCGATTTAGCATTATATAAAACGATTTGCTTACTTGCCTCTCTTTGTAGTTAGAAAAGCTTTTCTGAATTATTTAGATATTTTTAAATATCCATTTGGTGACTATTGAAAATAACATGCACTGATATTACTGATTTAACCGGTAAATTTTCCAATACTACTGGATTATTATGTAGTCTCCAAATGCTCTCACATGGCCACATGCATACAACCACTACCAGGGAAGTCCTACTCACTGCCTCCTCGTAGCGGCCGTCTTGTTTACAAAATTGAGAGGACGAAAAGCGAATGTCTGGTGCTTTAACAGGGTTGGTGGATACGGAGAGTCTGCCTAGGGCAGTTGGAAAACCCTAATTCCAAACTAATGGCGTACATGGGCTTCATGATCTTGAAGGAACAAATGGCGTATGAACCAATCGTTGGTCACCAAGCTACTCTGTCCTGGCCTCTCCTTTCCAACGGTTGCCATGTACTATTCATTCTTTTAATGTCTGCTTCTGATGCTCGGTGCAATATGTTCTTTGGTTCACCTCTTTTCCTTATGCCTTTAAAATTCTAAGTTAGGGCTTCCCTTGTGATACAGTATAATAGTTTCCTCAGTATGTGTCCTATCTACCTCCTAGGTCATCTCTTGATATCCTTCTCTTCAGTTGGAAGCTGATTGTTCACTGCCTCAGGAATTTGTTATTGATCAGGTCTGACCAACAAATCTGGAATACATTCCATGAACAGCTATTTATAAATATTGTATATTTTTAATGATGAATGTAGCAGTACTCAAAGTTTCAGTTCGATACAATAGAATTAACTGTTTTGAAGTTTTTATTAAAAATTCTGACTTTGGCGTTGTTTTGAGTGCAAGATGTTCTTCAACTGTAGGATGCCTCCTTTGCTTCACCAATCCGTACATTCACATCTGCATCAGATTCTCCTTGTTTATCAATGATGATGCTGTCGAGTTATATAAAACTTTCTACCACTTCCACAGCTCATATAACAATTTGTAAACCAATAAAAAACCAGGATAAAAATTCCTAGTATTACTACTATTTAGTTATTATATGAGAATATACACACTATTTGGTGACCATGAGGTTGAACACAGGACTTAAGATTTCGCAACAATCGTATGTTACTGATGAACCACTGTGAATCAAAATCTGTTAACGCGAAATTCATAACTACGCTCAATGAGATTATATGAAGCAAAATAAGACTCAGACAAACATTTAAATCTATAGAACGTAATAATAATAATAATAAATACCTTATTAGTGGTAACTTTCTCAACTTCCAGTGCATAGTCAACAACTGGAGTTGCTACAAAATGTTCATGTACATAATTGGACAGTAACTGAACACGTTTATCTGGATTAGTTATAGATTTAATCCGATGTCCAATACCCATGATAAGACGTGATGCTTGACGTTCTTGATTAACAAACTGAATAGGTGTTAAGCCGGCATCATAAGCTTGTGAAAACTGACGCGCTGCAGCATCCAATGCACCACCAAATCTATCACCCTAACAAGAAAAAAATCATTCCCGTAAGAAATAAGTAGATATCGGTAAATATAGGGTTGTGGAGATGAATGAATTTTACTGAGATCAAGAACCGATTTAAGTCAGATAACCACTGAAAATGTAGAAGCACTGGACAACCATTTTGTCCTAGTACGGGAATCAAATATATGTCACATCACTCAAATTTTTATTCCCTCTTTCAATGATCACCTTCATTAATGTATGCCTCTTTCATGATCGCCCTTATTAGTGCGCACCTTTTTTTATTCTCGCTTATTAGTTTGAACATCAAAGCTGGATTCTAAAAGTACTACACTTTATCTTGTTCACTGATTCCCGTCGTCAGTGGTTAGGCTTGGAAAGTACCAAGGCAAAGCATCAAAAACCACTCATAAAGAGGACATGTGTGACTGGTCTCAGATAGTTATTCCTTCGAGTTTATGATCATATTTCAAGGTCACTAAAACAAGTTCACATTCCAGGTCCTTTAAAAAGAGTTATCTGTGCACAGGAGGCGCGACCGGGAATTAGCAATCCCCTCATACATTTAACAGCACTAGTGACTGACTTCCAGTCTGTATCACAGGAAACCATTCAGCTTAACAAATCCAATATCTATAAAACCATTTACCTAAACTACAAAAGTTTCACTTTCATCATTTCAAAATCAAAACATTTCTGGGCACAGATGGATAGTGGTTAGAAGTAGAAACCAGGACGTGCGTTTCATCCTATTTGGGACTCATTTGTAGATGAGTGAATCTGCATCCCTGAGTTGATGTTCACCCTGTGACTCCAAACCCAGTACCGTTCTCTTCAAACGCCATCGCGTTATCTACTTAGCTACTGAGTTCAGATAGCTAATAGCTTGTACAGTGAAGTGATGTTTTAATTCATCTTTGTGTTGTTGTTTGTTTGAACTGGTGTTTCCTTATGAAAATATCATATTTAACAACTATTCAATATTCCATCAAAATACTTATTATTGTATTTATGGGCGAGAAAAAAAATCACTAAAGACATATTTATGATTACAATATTCAAAGTTTTATTTCACAAACGGAAAAACTATCAAACAAGTAAAGACAACAGTCGATCAGTAACACATACCTTTATATATAAACAAACTAATAATACACTAGAATAAACAAAATAGAAAATATTCAAACTTACAATTGTTAAAAGTCCAGATACAAGACTAGAGATGAGATCTTTACCAGCACGTGTTGCCACTATTGTATTATGTGCACCGGATACAGCTGGACCATGATCCGCTGTTATAATAAGACATAATTCTAAAAATTTCGTTGCATATTCAGGTAATCTAATGATTTAATAGATAGATAATAAATATAAAGAGAGACAGATAGATAGAGAGGTAGGTATATGAATTTCATTTTAAATGAAGATAGACAATAAACACTTAAGAGATGATTTAAAAGAAAGTAACATATATATTGAAGTAATGAGCTCCAAAAAGCAAACTTAAGGATCGAGCTTCGCCTCATTTGCCTTGATTTAGTTGATCAGGTATTCATATCGTTAGATATTATGGAGAAAAACGAATTTAGCTTGAATTAGAATACAGAAATCTATAATTCTGTCATAAACAATGTAGAACCTAGTATATAAGTGTGTATTGATTCAAGTTGTCACAACATATCAGCACGGTTAGATAAAATTATCCAGACAAATCCCAGAGTAGTATAGTCGAAGTAACAAAAGTATTAGTGGTAGAAGAAAGCGTGATTCGAGAAAAAAGAATGAATTCGAGGAATGAAAATTATGTGTATTTTAAGACGATGAGTGAATGCGCTTATGATATCGCTACCGATTCTGGGTCATATCACAACACACCTTCGCTGAAAACTTGTTACGATAATCGTGTGAAACTCTAACTAAGGTCATGAGTTCGACCACTGATGTGAGATAATGAGTGCACATTGCTAATAAGGTGGGGGGGGTTAACACCACAAGTGCGACAATTGTCTGGTGCCCTCTAGTGATTTAGTTAAAGTTAGTTGGTGATGTAAACAGCCTTCAAATGAAACAACTCACACAAATCTTTCATTCTATTAATCACGAAATCAACATATAAAAAATCAATACTGAGATAACGGAGAAGTTATGAACACTATTACATTGAAACATAAATCTTCTAGCCACTGATTGACTGTTATCAAAAAAAAAATCAAAAGACATTGAATAGCTATTCGTAATACCATATACCCATGAACCCATTATGTAGATTCGAATCCATAATTATATATTAGAAAATCATTCGATAAAAAATATTGATCGATATTACCTTCTTTTGAACCATAATAAGCCAAGAACACCACCTATGCCTAAATCTTGTTCAATCACATGACTAATTGGCATTCCAGCATACAATAACTCTTCGCCTCTATCATCACATATTGTTGATGTAAACGAAACTGGTCGACGAATTAGACCTAATTCCTTTAAAGAATAATAATAATAATATTAATGAAACGAATATGATAACAATTCAATGTTAACAGAGGAATATTCAACTTGAAACAAATCAGTATAAATTTCCCAAAGAAAATTATAAAACTAAAGAATAAAAAATGTACAGAGAGTTGTCGAACATATGGAAATTGAATGTTTTTAAAGTTAAAAGAGTCTTAAAACTTCTCGACGAAAAAGTCGTGGCTACTATGATTTACTATCATTATCATAATTTAAGAATAAGATTGATAATAAGCATAAACTTTCAAATAAAACAATGAGAATTTGCAATAAAAAATTTCAGTTGAACATAGAGTACTAGACAAAGATGACATATCGGTTGATGGGATTGTGATTATTCACTGATGGAAGTGGTAGTGGCGGATAGATCAGGTATATAGATAAGTGAACTTTGCTCTACTCGAAATAGGTTGAAAGAAAACTAGAGACCGTCAAATTAAATCAACGAAGTCATTGACAATTGGTTGGGATCGTGTTGGTAAGTTGAAATTATCAGGTTATGATGAGGTATGATAATTGCGATCAGTGATTAGATAGATAGATCTGTTTAGATGGTATTAAATTAGTCGCAGTCGGATAGACGCATCTATCCTTTGTCTAGAATGTAGATTTCTAGTTTTAATATTATTGTACACTATTCGCTACGTGAATTTATCTCTATTTATTCGAACCAAATACCCCATTTCCAATCATTCTTTTCACTATCACTGATAGTGTTACTTTTAATATCAGGGTATCTCGTCTTGGTAAGTTCATCTTACTGTACTGATGTGGCTACTTAGGGCGATGTATATTTTTATCAAGTTCAACGTTCGCCATAACTAAATGGATGAATGACTTGGTAGAATAATGAAGTTACGTTACTAAAAATACAGGAGCGCTCGGGACAGGACGAACATTGGGAAAATTGGAAGTGTTGAAATTATTTTCTTGATTATTATTATTATTATTATCTGTATTTTTATTGTATAAATAGTAAATAACTCTATTGTTGTATCTCTATATTCCTCTTATTGTAAGCCTTCAGTGGACTTGTTAACTGTATCAATATTTTTTACTGCTCCCTAATTATTGCTAATTAATTGTGTACTAATCGTTCTGCACTCTACCACTTGTGGCTAGATTATTTTCAGGATGTGATTTCATATTTGATGTGCTGTGTGGTTAGGCATTTCCAATATGATATTATATGCGTTTTGAGTTATATTTAACTTAAGTACGTTACAGAACTAATCCGCTACCTGTCTACATCTTCTAATTGGCTACCGGGTAAGAAAGGGTTCAAGGGGTAATAAGCGTTAAGGTCTCGGCTGTTGTTCATTGATTAGTCATCCTGCAAATGTAGATGAACTAATCTATAATCAAAATTCTGATTAGGCAATATACCACGCGATATAGATTAATGTTTCAAGCCATAACTAATTGGCGGTCAGAATAACACGACATAACATAATGTCGACATATTTCTTGTACTACATTTGAATACTAAATGTTCGCAACAAACGTCAATCTTTGCAATAGTATTTCAATCTAGCGGTAGCCTAAAGAAACCTGGATATTACGTGATTCGGACCACAGTATCAAAATTTCCTTTTAAATATCCCCAAGTTCCATCGTTTTTGGTGCTAGTTTCTGGAACACTATTGATACTTAAAACAGTTAATCCCTTTGGTAAATTTCGATAATGGAATGAGAAGACAAAGTTTATCAGAATTATGTGATACATTTGCCCAATACATTTCGAACAATTTTCATATAAAAATGTCTTAACAAGTATATGTGTGATCAGATTGTTCGAAATGTATTGCGCAACTACTGATACTGTTAAAAGATGGACTTCATTCAACTAAAAAAAATACCGTAAATATCCATGTTCGCTATTCAGTGGTACACAATTTGTGTGAACTCTATGGCTAATACCTGAGGACGAAATGCAAAACTAAGTACGTCGTGAGACGTGGGTGGGAGTAGATTGGCGCTACAAATTTGATATAGTGTTGAGAAGGTCAATCTATGTCAATCGGAAGTGACCTAAAAGGACAAGTGCATCTCGTTGGCTGAGAAATAGGTATATATAAATAATAGGTAGGTTGAAAAGTACTCAGATGAGGTTGATTTTCCCAATGATTTTACTGTTAACCAATCTAGAAACAACCTCTTCTTTTTACGAATTAATTGGATAAAAACTTGAGAACACGATTTATGTAAAGAGAATAAAAGAATTTAGATCAACAGAAGACAAGAAATAAAACCTCAAAGAAAGAGACATACAACATATATGCATACGCAATCATAGGATCAAATGATAGTCTAATAATATGTGGAGAGAAAAAGTAAGTTAAGGAAAACACGAATCACAATCATTGGATGATCATCACCGTCATCATTATCATCTGTTTCTCAATCGACCCAAATAAGAAATGAAAAATAGAGTGATTCGAATACAGGATACTACTGGTTCAATTGCTTTCACAAGCAAACATTAAATGTAAACAAACTTCTCTACCTTATTGATTTATTAGTATTACAAAAGATATATAGGAATGAAGGAGAAATACACATACATATTTCTATGATCAAGGACAAATATAAACACGCACATGCTCACACATATGCATAGCAACAAAAAAAGAAATAGTACCTTAAATAAGAAAACATAATGTTTACGATAAATTAATATATTTGTAATATCCCAATGAGTAGAAAAATAAGATTTTCTGACGTTTCGCGACTCAGTGTGAGCTATTTCTTCAGAGAGGTTTACGAGTTATAGTATAAATAATATGAGGCGACAGTTCATGCTTGATGCGGCATGCGGGGGACGAACATTGTTAAAGAATGTTGCAACAAACTGGGACGAAGCAACCTCATAGTATATTATGGTTTTTCTTAAAGTTCTTCAGTTGAATGATAGTTCATGATAAAAACAGTTATTTACATAACTGATAGTGGATGAACAATAGTTCTGAATGTAACGAAAACTGGGTGTGTAGTTATCATCGACTGTTAAATTTTAAGTACACATATAATAGGCGGTTAAATTATAAAGATTGTTGTGTTTAACCACATACTAACTATTTAATTGAAAAAGCAAAGAGTATCAAACAATTGTTTGAGATTATTCGTCATCAGTACACATATATCCACGAATTTACACGGATCGAAATCCAAAAACCTTCAAATTTATAATCACATGCCAAAGAATAGCTGTTTTAAAGAAATATATCAAATCATTTTTGAATTGGTTGCTTGGATCTTCCTATTAATGTTTAGGATTACAAATGATTAGTGTCTTATTAGCATTCGTGCATCCTGTGAGGATTGCCTCGATAGTGCCTTCAGACACAATAATCATGAGCAGAGATGGTAGTGGCTAGCATTCGAATCTAGGACTTGCGTTTTGTCCGATTTGGGACAGCTGGACGTCGCTGTATCCCCTTTGAACAAGCTAGTGGCTATCTACACTCAGTAGCTAAGTGGATAACGCGATGGTGTTTGAAGAGAACGGCAATGGACTTGGATCCCAAAGTGGACATTAACTCAGGGATGCAGATACATTCAACTGCAGACGAGTCTCAAATAGGATGGAAGGCACTTCTTGGTTTCCACTGTTAACCACAATGCATTTCTGCTTATAAATATATCGATTGGTATTACATTTCAGTGTTACTGACGAACTAAATGTCAACCCATTAACAATGTTTACTACATTGAAAAAGAAAAAATGATTCTAACAAGTAGAAAATTTCTCAAAATGTCAAAACTCAATTACACAAATGAACTTACCTTGGCCCACTCATAATCCATTGGAACAGTACGAGGTGGATAATCAGTTTTCGGGATTAACTGACCACTTCTTACAAGTTCATCAAAAACACGTCTACAATTAATCAATTTAACATGAAACTCATCTTTACTAGTATACGAACTTAGAAGCGTGAAACAAGTCAAATATATGCACATATATACACTTAGTGGAATAATATTCTAAATTACAAATTAATAAGTCGATTATACAAATTGAAGAAAAAACAATACAATCTGCGTATTGTTGAAGAGTCCCACAGTAGGATGAAACGGCCGTCCAGTGCTTCCAGGTTTTCCATGGTGGTCTAGCGTCAGTGGACTCATGAAGTCAACTATTAAATTACCGTTATACCCAAAATCCCCTTCTGATGACGTAAATATGTTCATTCGAAGAGTAATTCACATCAATATTATTATATCAGTATAGAGTTGTTGAGACCGTTAAGCTTTTTTTATTGAAATCATGAACCGATTGATGTTAGACTATCATTGAAAACCTGGAAGCACTGGACGGTCGTTTCGTCCTATTATGGAACTGCTCAGCAGTTAGCATCCACGATCCCGCATCACGAGATTCAAACTCAGGACATATCAGTCTCGCACGAGTGAATGCATCTAAATTTGATTGCATCATAAGCTCAGATAAGCGGAAAGAGAGATGGCGAATAGACAACCATATTGTTCAGCAACAAGACATATATGATTGAAATAGATTGTAGGATTTGTTTGAAAGCAGTCAGAATATGTGTTTCTCATAGAAGATTTGATGATTAGACGAACTACTACTACTTATATCTGTCAACATAAGTAGCATACAACACAGTGTTACAATGTTTGGTCTTTTGTTAAGTTTATTAAGCTAGAAATGGTTTAATTATGAAGTATTCATTGTTGATTGATGATATTTATCAGGATGATATAATGAAAGCGCCACAATTCAACCATTTCTAGCTCTTGGAGAACTTAAATACATTCAACATCATCCACCTATGAATTCTAAATCTTTTTCAACATTTCAAAAATGTTACAACTTGTTATTTTGTTTGTTTGTTTCTTGTTTGGGCCAGAAATAACGAAATTATTAAATGACCATAAATGGACAAAAGGTTTGTTAAAGATGAGAAGAGAAACAAACGAACAAACAGGAAATTCAATCTAACCTAATTAAGAGATCTAATTCATCAAATGATTCTGGAACATGTATACCAACACTGGCCAATGCATAATTTTTCACTGTAGCTGTTTCTTGTAAAGAATTAGCACATGCACCGGCATGACCGAATTGAATTGAACCACTAGCAATATTACTGCTGTCTGTATTATCATTCGAATTAGCCGCAGCGCTTAATAATTCACCGCATGATCCTATACACCAGGCTACAATTGGTTTTTTTATTTTGCCCAATTTAACTGCTTCAATTATTGCATACTCTTCTATACCACCAACCTATGGTAGAGAAAAAAGAATACAAAATACTAATGATGATAATAATAATAGTAATAATAATCATGATGATAATAATGTCCAATTTATGAGTCAATATTATCTCTGGTGCTGTTAGAAAGTGGTTATCACCTCCAAGCTCTCCATATTGTGGAAGGATATTTCTCCCTGAGGGACTTGAAAAAGCTCGACTAGTTGTGGTGATCTTAGGGACCTGTGAGAAAGATTACAGAGAATATAGGATAAGAGATCGAGGTTGATCACCCGCTAACTTTTCATGACAAGTTTTGGATATGTTGGCTACGCACTTCAAAACTCTTTACTATAGGAAATGGAAATCCACAGAGTAAGATGAGCTGTGACACTTTTGGGTCAACCGTTTCTAACCTCGTCCTTTATGCATATGCTGATTGTCCAGGGGAAAAAATTACTGTTGTCATACTTCATTACAGTTAGCAGTACGACTTCGACCTTGGACCTTAAATTGCGACTTTTTATCTTTCCCCAACCGACCTGGTAGGCATAGTGGGACCTAAAATAACGTGTTCCAGCCACCATAGCTCCGTTGAGTCATCACGATAGAGAAGCCGGAATTTTCACCTTAATTCGTAAAGGTTTGAGATATCTTGTTGGTGATATATAAGACTTAATTTGCCTCAGTCTTTTTTAGAATGTGTGCATCCTGTACGGATCACCTTTATATAGTGATTTTGACCCAAGCTTTATAAAATGTATGAATTCTAGCTGGTAGTAGGCTGATCAAAATCCAGCCGCCGATGTCAACAAAGGGACACCGCAAGCATATACAAATCGAATTAAAAATTTATACCCGTTGCACAAGATGTAATAGCTCAGGGAATAACACGTTCGGTACTAGGTTCAAGTACCAGAGTGAGGATCAACAGTGGGATGTGGATACATTCAGATCATTAGTCACAAACACACATATTGGATTTCAATGCTAGCCATAAACCACATTTTCTATCATAATAACGATAGTGATAACAATAATAATAATAACAGTAACAATGTGTTGATTTCTCAATGGTACTTGTTACGAATGGACGCCAGATGAGCCAAGTCATCCAACATAGCTTAGACCAATAGTCAATGACTCTATAAACTGATAGCATATGAAAGGAAGACTAATAAGCATCTACTCAATTTTATCATCCTTATTAACACACCTAAACAACAACTAAATGAAACTGAATAAGCCTCAGTTAAAATAGCAGAACAAGCATACCTCGTTTCAAGTGAATTTCTTTTGTTTTTAAAAGTTTGTATTTTCCTATTGTTAATGCTAAGGACTGAAACTGATAAGTCTCTATTTACAAACGTGCATTTTGAGCGAATTCGATTAATATTACCTTTTTTACAAATTTTTATCAGAGTTGGATATGCGCTAGCAATGGAATCCGGAACGTTTCGTTTGATCGATGGTTTGTCAACTGAATGAAAAAGCATCCCAGTGTTGATATTCATACAGAGATGTTCAACACTGGGATTTCGGTATATCCAGGTGGCAACACTAGGGTTCAAGTACACCCAGCTGACGAATCCTTAGTAGGACGAAACTTTCGGAGTTCCACTGTCAATTACTATCCAACTTAAACGAACTTTTTATTTTTTCTAGAAAAAAATTTATGAAATGATCACTTTCATACTTTCTACTTACTTCACCCAAGACAACAATCATACCGACTTCTGGATTATTTTCATAACGTAGAATATGATCAATAAATGTTGAACCAGGAAAACGATCACCACCAATCGCGACACCTTCATAAACACCATCAGAATTCATTGAAATAATATTATTCAATTCATTGGACATTCCACCAGAACGTGATACATAAGCAACACTGAAAGAAAGCAAAGAAATAAATAAATGACTAAGAATGAGACTTATTGTATCGTCTATTTCAATATTTGAAAACACTCAACGTAAATATACACACACCGTCAAGTCTAATCAATTTACCAACCACCAACCTTTACCTATCATAATTATCTTTAAGAATCATCCATATACAGTCAAATGAGTATCGGCTTGAAAAGAATATAAAACCGGATACTGTGCAGTGCAACAGTTTTAAAAATTCTAATCAGAAATCTGTATATAAACGTAATACGTTTAATCTCACGTTCTAATGTAGATTAAACTCTCTCCACTTGACAAACAGTAGATCTTACTTCCGAATTGTTATTCTTTTGTCTGTATATCATTCTTTCTGTTTTCATCAAATAGACAACTATGTTCAATGGAGACAATTAAACGATTAAACTAAAATTCAACATGATACATTGAGTCAATCAGATATATGACTCAAAGGATAAGAGCACAATATTGACCAAGATCTGGATTGCTTTTCTAACAAACGAGACAAACGTAATTATTCGAAATGGTGGATTGATACATAAATATATGGACGAGTGGACAGGTATCTTTTGATTCAGTTTCCATCAATAAATCTTCCTTCTTACTCAAGTAGCTACTTTGACCTGCATATTAAAAATTGTGTCAGCATCAGAATCGGACATCGTAGAACGTAACACTAAATTATGGGTAAGATGTAAAAAGTGAATAGGTTGGAGTTTTCAATCAACCACATGACATATCACAATTTAGATAGAATAAGGCAAGATAATCTTTTTACCGGAAGTATTCAACTGTCGAAACAAATATGAATGTCAACACTCACCTTCCAGGTCGATAAAGTTTTGATGCCAGTATATTGTCTGTCATTCCGCCTGTATTACCGATTTTGAAGCAGCCAGATTTTAAGCCACCTACCTATAGACAATATGGAAAGAAATAAATACCAATAAGAAGGTTGAATAGGTGGTATATGTAGACAAAACCAACCAACCAATCAGTCAGGTAACAAATGAATATAGTGAAAAACTGTTTTGGTAGCTAACAGCACGGATTGATCGCAGTTAGATAAATAATGAAAATCAGGAAGTCCTAAACAACTGTTTCGTTGTCATATGAAACTTGTCAGAAGTCTACATACACCAAGAACCTAACCACACAGTAACTTGACTGATAGAAATCAACGAACATTAGGGACTATGTAAGCACTAAATAATTTACTAGTTAGTGATCAACTAATGTAGATATCCGAGCCTATGGGACGTCAGAATCCACCTGAGTGGCCTAGCAATACCGTCTTAAACTGTGAACTTGTTTCAAAACCTATAGAAAATATCGGCTCCCACAAGATCTCAAATGTTCCCTCCTAACAAGCACCAACAAACATGATAGCAAAATCAAGAATTTTCTACCGACTACCTTCAACCATTTAACATCAAAACATCGATCACATGATATCGAATTATTTATACTAGTCTCTACATTGTAACTTTGGAAACATTGGCTAATATAACTCAAGCATTAGTCATTAAGATACAGATGTACTCACTCTTTATATTCGCCCAAGTTCTGAGCTTCAACGTTATTACATAATTTTTCTAGACTTCTTCGTCAGTAATGATAAAAATTATGATATATTTGTCATGCTCTAGTGAATCAGTGTAAGCCAGTTCTTTACAAATCAAATTAACACAAATTTAAATAGTAAAAAACAACAAAGCAACAATATTCAATACAACCAGAATTCAGGTTTGATCAAGTCATAATCATGTCAACCTAGTCAATGTGATTTTTGTGAGACATATTTTTGTATGTTAATGGGTGTCATCAATTTTTCACACTATCACTGATACTAGGTTTATTCCAACCATTTTGTTTATCCGCTTTGTTAATTTCATCCCGTCATCCTAACGTAATACGTTATAACATGGGCTGACGGACATCAGTGCCAGGATAATCATGACTGACTGATAGAAAAATCGATCGACAGAATTCAATCAGCACTAATGACTAAGTAAACATAACACTGCGTACTTACTCAACAATAATGATAAGTAACTCTGGATAAAAGTTCCTAATATTAGCAAAAATTATATCTGCAATACATTCTGTATGAATGCAACTCTTACAGAATATACATAGATTTACAACGCTTTTGTTTAACATAGCAACAACTTAATTCAGGTAAGTAGACAAACAAAGGTCTGCGTACATAGCTTCATGTCGTAATTTTTATGTACGAGTTAATGACATTATTATATCTATGAAATGGGAATTAGACGAAAACGAGTTCGAACATGAAAACAATCGGTTTGAAAAGTAAACAATTTATCTACCACTTTTCACAACTCAGTAAACCAAGGAAATATTCGTGTGTTCAAACTTAAGTGATACAGAAATACATGTGAAAATTTGGCGATACTTGATATATGGTTGAACCTCACTGGATACGGCTTCTCACTAGAACTCTGAAAATGTCCTCTTGACTCTAGTTACTAGTGTGCACATATTAATTGAGATCACGTTCCGACGTAAGTTGAACTCTAGCTAAATGGTCTAGAAGTTAACAATTCATGCACGAGACAGAAGGTCATGTGTTCAATCCCCAACGGTAGGGTCATGAATGTGAACTGTTGAAGAGTCCCGTACTAGGACGAACCAGCTGCCCAATGCTTTCAGATTTTCAATGATTGTCTAACATAAGTCGGTTTGTAAACTCAATAACATTCAAAAACTTCCAAAACACTAATACTGATAATTTTGTTTTATTTTACAAACGACCCTGATGGGAACCTATTGAAAAGGATATTATTCGTTCAATTTCTAAGTATGTATAAATAAAGCGTTCACATGGGTAGTGATGTAAATAGGTAGTTGCAATGAGTAGAATATATTAGTTATTAGACAGCTAAATGACAGATGATATGTTTAAACTCTTTAAAATCACTCGGTTCCCGAATATTGAAACTTCGATATGGTAAAAGAAAAATATGACATCCCTAGACGTTTTGCGAAGACCCATACCACATTACAATACAAACTAATGATATCATCCAGATAACTACTAACAAAAAACAGTTAGTAATTGAATATAGATGTTATCCTAGTTTAGGATTACTCATGAGTGTGTGTGGCGAAGGTGCAACATTAGATCAAACCCATAAGTTTTGCGATAAGCTGGACAATATTCGGTCGCCGAACCCATCTATATTTACGCAATCCAATCACATTTTCATATAAGACCACTAATCTAACGTTGTAGTGCGAAGTCTACTTTGTCAGATCAACAGGCTGAAGCCTTATGCTGCTTCATCAGTTTATATACACGACCCCAAACCATTGAATGGTCAATGATAACTTTAAAGTAAAGGAATATTGGAAAAAAGATTTTTAAAAATCAGTGGTTGATTGATGAGGTTATGAATTTTCATCGATTACATTAATTAAGACATATGTTACGCATCCCGAACGACCGCCTACTTCAACAAATGATGACTGGTGTACGAGTATATTAGAAGAAAGTTAGGGGCACTCAAACCAAGAGATGGCATTAGTCCATGAAAATGCTGACTGATGGACTGAGACAGGTGGGCAGTGTGTGCGATGACCGTGATCAGTGGTTGGAGATTTTGGGTGATATGACTAGGATTCGTTCACGCTGGTGTAGATGCATTCACATTTAATCTTCCTCTAAATACTGAATTCCAGTATCCCTTCATGAATATATTTCCACTCGGTCTTTTCGAACTATACTCCAAATATTAGTTCATTCTTAGTAGCATTGCTTCGATATTTACAGACTTAATGAGAGGAACTGGAACAGATTGATCAATTGTATTCCTAAACATCAAACAAGCATCATAAATGAATTAAAATTCATATCATTGCACAAACCAGTGAATATCTGAACTCGGTAGCTAACTGTATAACGTAATGGTATTCGAAGCTAACGATACTGGGTTTAAGTCCCAGAGTGAACATCAACTTGAAGATGTGGATACATGAAGCTGAAGACGAGTCCCAAATAGGATGAAACGTGTATCCTGAGCCCCACTGCTACCTACTATTTATCTCTGCTTTTAAAGACCAATTAAAATATATAGAACAATACTCTCTCTAGGGTTTTTATAGATTTATACCTCTTTATCTCTTATCGATTATTGATTCAAATTCACTTTAACTAGGGTATTATTTCTGAAATGATTAAATGACATTCTGTATTGATAATAATTTAAGGCCAAGCAAATGCGAGGTGTATTATGCATTATGCTTTTATTTGTTTAGAGAAAAGTACACAAATATTAATCAAATACTTTTCTTGATAATAATGTATATAGAATGTGATGTATATATAACTGAATGTTCGTGATTAGTCATAGAATAAGTGCTTATTAAGTGAATGGTGGCAATCTCAATGGAGCTGTGGATATAGGTTTCTTGCTAGTTAAGAAATAAGTTGTCTGAAATATTGAGAGGGATTGATGATTACTATGAAGCTCAAACAGTCAGACAGTATGCAAGTAAGAAACGTTACTACTGAGCTATTTTAGCATAGTTGATGAGTTTTAGCTAGTGCGAAAACTACCTTAAGCAGAGCTCCCAATTGCCTAATACATAAATCAAATGCAGGACGATCTTGAGTATTGTTACACGTATGAGGGTAGATGTCAAGTTTCAGTTACCTGCAGAGGCCGGTACTATGTCAAGCTCAGACCAATCTATTCATTCTTCTCAAACGACATTTTTACTCTATCACTTTTATTGGATTACTAACCCTGACTGTGTTTTATATGATCGTATGTATGGTAATTACATACCCTATTCATCATGTGTCTGGAACTTATTTTTGTCTGACTATAAATATCGATTCACGCTTGGCTAAATGGGGTCGACTCACTCGCCTTTTCCACTGAGTGTCATTTCGTTTTGCTTCCTTCACTCCGTCTCTCTGATTGGCTCTTCAGATCGACGAGTGTACGAAATATACGTATTCAAACTTCATACACGTATTTGACTTATTCCGTTATTCACTAATGCGAGTTAAGTTGACCATATAAAAGGGTTGGCGGTATGTATAAATAGATAGCAATCATTATACGATCTAACTGGATATAGGTTCACTTAATACCCACACTATGGAAAGCCATTTCTTGAGGCAGCTGCAAAGGGAACTGCGTTAGGGGTGATCCTGTCGACCTGATAGTGTGACCACAGTGTCCAAAGGAAAACTGCCTGAAGTCGGTCACATACCGTCCTTTTATGAATAGTTTTTGATGCTATATCTACTCATTCTTCAAGTTTTACCGCCGGTGACAGAAATCAATCGGGCAAAATAATTTGTGGCACTTTTAGGGTCGACCTATTCTAACACCCCTCCTTCCATTGTTGGAATGTAGTATCGCTGAAAATGTTAGTTGCCTGTGAAAATCGACCCCCTTTCCATCAATCAAAACGCAACATATTCAGCAGTAGGATTATGCCCATGAACCCTAAGTTTGTTGCTTTCAATCTCACTATTCTCCAAACAACCAAGATGGCATAACATGAACTAAAAGTATAAGTATTCCAGACAACGTAGCTCAGTCGAGTCATCATAATATTCAACTCAGATCTCAGCTAAAACGAGCTCCATATTGAATAACAAGTGGATGAATTTCAGTTAATCAATAAAATTCGATTAGCACAAAGGAACATACAATCACCGAATTGGTTACTATTCCATGATTCATTAGAGTCGTGCAACAGAAGGTTTGTGTAAATTAGAACATTACACATAGTTATCATTCAATCACAAATGTCAGAGAGTTGGATTCGGTTAGAAAACAAAAACGAGTAAAAACTTCAGATTCACTGATAAACATCTAAAGGAAAAATACCCATCTAACTTTATTACTCAAGACACATCTATCGAAATATTTAAAAAAAGAATACCGTGTTTATGTTGTAAACATGGGACATGTGTATATTCTATATTCAAGAGAGAAACTCTGAAGAGTTAACATTTCACAACAAAAGATTGAATGTCATTTACTCTTAGAACTATTTACCACTTATTCCCTATATAAGCGCACAAACACATACATACGAATAATATAGTTGATTCTTGAAAAGATGGGTTCTCAGTCAATTTCATAGAATATTGAAACTAATGTTTAAAAAAATGTCCAATCACTTTGTACTAATGAAGATGGCAAGTTAATATTATGAAATGAGTTTTATTAGGGAATAAGATATTACAGATGTTAAGGCAAACAAATATTGTATTGTGGTAAATAAAACTATTCGATCAAATGAATTATGAAAGTAGATTACTCAAGATAAATAAATGTTTAAATAATGGCTATATAATCTGCAAGAGTTTGAGGTTGATCAGTTCCTAGTGACAAATATACGTCCTGAGAGAAGTCTTCATATTATCATTAAATCATATTTATTTAAGTACAGTAGGATAGTGAATAGTAGTATAATCCGGAACACGTGTTTTATCCTATTTAGGAATCGTTAGTTGGATGTATCTGAACCTTAACATTGATATTCACACTGAGACTCAAATATTTCAAATGCTAGACTCCATGAAAGTGTCGAGGTGGTTCGCTCAGAATTTAGGTATGGTGAAAGAGACTTAGCATTTGAAGTTTTTAACATCACCAACGGTAAAGATGTAACCCATCACAAATGAAATATTATTCATCCCCGTTAAACTAACCAACAGCTATTTGAATTCAGTAATTGTTAAAAGAAGAACGCAATGGGTTTGAATCTTAGCGTTGGCATTACCACGAGTGCAATTCCATTGAGCTGATGAACCTTACACAGGATGAAACGCAAGTCCTAAATTCCACTTTTGGTCACTACCGAACTGGCTTTTTTGTTTTTAGAAATACAGATGATTAACAGTTCTAATGAAATGATAAGAAGCTGTATTCTAGGTTATCCTTACAATTATCTAACGTGAGAAAAAAGATAATATTTACAACAGAATACATTCATTCAACTTTAACTTTTTTTCTGGTTAGCGTATTTTTAGCGAGTTAGTTTTCTACGGAATGGGGCCGCTAACTCCATGCCAAACCCTCCTCCTTTATCCGGGCATGGGACTGGCAATAGCCCCAGAGGGGAGAGAACAAATCAAATCCCAATGGAGGAAGAAATCAGGAAGAAGTGCTGAAAGTGGATAGGACACACATTGAGGAAAACACTCAACTGAGTCACAAGACAAGTCCTCATATGGAATCCTCAAGGCCAAAGGAAAAGAGGAAGACCAAAGAACACATTACACCGAGGAATGGAGATAGACATGAGAAAAATGAACGAAAATTGGACAGAACTAGAAAGAAAGGCCCAGGAAAGAGTAGGTTGGAGAATGCTGGTCGGCGGTCTATGTTCCAGTGGGAGTAACAGGCGTAAGTAAGTAATCACTCCAAGTTTTATGTGTTAAATTTTTACGAAACAAAATCGTCGACTAACAAACGTTTCAAAATTAATCGAAGGATAATATTGGATATTAATTTTGTGTAGTTGATTAGTCTATAATAAATTGTCCGATTACAGTAGGCTTAACTGATCTTTGGCCACGGAGTTGTTTATGATTTTTCTAACTAGTTAACTAACTAGGAGTATTTCATTATGTTTATTGATTACTGATTGATTTCCATTCCAAGCTATATAGATTTTGTCCGGTCTTCTCTGTGCTACCTCTGTCCAATATTCCAACGTTTTTCTCACTGAACATGTGTTAACAGCAACAACTAATCAAATTCAAGGTGTGGAAATTTGATAGATCACTTCTATCTGAAGTTTATGTTGATAATACTATTTAGAAAGAACATGTGAAAGATTTACGGTTAGATTATTCATTGAAATCATGAACCTATCTAATTTGGACAACCAGTAAAAACCTGTAAATACTAGACGGCTGTTTTGTATTAATGGACTCCTTAGTAGTGCTCACACCCACTAGCCCGCATACAGGAATCGAACCCAGGATCTAAGGTCTCTCATGGAAACGTTTAATCTTCAGATCAATTAGCAGGCATCCAACGAAGTTAATATCTAACGTCAATCAATCCACGATATTGAGCGAACATCTTTCATCGTAACTGTCGAACTGGCACGGCTATTCAACTAAGAGAATTCAATTTCCATAAAACAATAGTTCATTTACTGTAAGTTTATCCAAATGAAACAGATCAACAGTAAATAAACCTACATACAATAGTAACACCGTCATTAAAAAAACTTAAACTTCCAAGCAAGAAATGAACTACATAGCACGATGTGATGACGTGGCGGCCTGCTTGAATATCTGGGCTACCTGTTCCTCCGATCTAGATATTTCATCAAGTTATCTGTTTTGTTGTTTGTTTTATCACATCATTATGTCTATTGTGCTCACAACCTATTCAGGCGCGTTTATGAAAAGTTTACAACCTTTCGCTATACGGGATACAGAAAGGTACAATCAGCGACATCATGGTGGCTGGCAATATGCATTGAAACAAATGAACATTAATCAAATGTGGATTACCGAACTCCTAACACCTAACCGGTCATCATTCAAAACTTATCGTCACAATCGATCACGGTATAAGAAAAGGAAACTTGTTGAAATACTTTATGCTGAGAATTCTATGTTGTACCAAAAATATAATGTTGAATAAAGCTTTTAATAATAAAAATAAAAAGGTTCAAATTCAGACACTTATCTAAACTGTTTTACAGTTTCAAATAGATTACAAAAAGAATGTTAAATCAATGACTCTAAAGACTGAAATATGCTCAATTTCTAACGATTTGAGCGCCCACAACACTGCCTACATCAGTTTATATACAACTAGGGAATAATATTAACTATCTGACACTAAATGTAACTCAAAAACTGAGTACATACATTGATACTTGACAGATAAAATGTATACTATGAATGGTAACTAATTAATGTATAAAATATATACAAAATAAAGACTGGCCATATTATAGAGAATACATAATATTCAACGATAAAAAAGAACTCACAGTTGCTGGACCAATCAATAGAATATTTCTTTCTTTGGATCGTTGTATTAAACGACGTGTCATATTTTCTGGTATACCTTCAGCTATAATAGCAATACACTTGATCTGTGCCTCGTTTACTGATAAACCATTATTATTAATATTGTTATGAATAGATGCATCATTGTGTTCATTCGATATTCCATTCTCTTTATAATTAGATGAAACTATACAATCCACTTCCATAGCTTCCATGCATATATCATAAGCAACTCGTAATGAAGCGAAATTTACTAATACACGTGCATCTGGATGCTTGTCCATTGCATTCAACATATACTTATAAACTGGTAGAAATAATTCTTTTGCACCCCAATAAAATTTTAATTGATGATCGTCGCTATTGTGTTACGAATAAAATGAGAAAAATGAAACATATGACTTAATCATAATAAGCAGAGATAGATGATGACTAACAGTACAATCAAAGATGTAGGTTTCGTCCCACTTAGGACTTGTCTTCAACTGGATCTACCTACAGTTCAGAGTTGATGTTCGCTTCAGGACTCGAACCATCTATCTCTGTTTAGAATGCCTATGACTTAATGGGGATATCGAGGCAATCCGTACGGGATGCACATATGCCAAAAAAGATTAATCAATTTCAGTCTTAAACATTTTATTTTATTTGAACATATAAATATTGGTACAAAGGAACAATACATATGCGCCACACAAGACGCTTGATTTGTGTATGGGCTATGATACTACCCGGGTGCCCAAACCGAAGTGGGTGGTTTTATTAGGAGGCCACACCCGGGAGCCTTCAACCTAAACGTCTGGTCCACAAGGCAGTGGAGCAACGTCAGGAGATGTAGTCCCATGGTAGTCGGTGACCAACAATTAGTTCATACGCCGTCTGTTCCTCCAGGATACTGGAGCCCATATTCAGGGTTTTCCAACTCTCCGTGTTATACCAACCCGGTTAGAGCACCGGACATTCGCTTTTCGTCCTCTCAATTTCGTACACAAACCCGTGGTGCGAAAAGGTAGTGAGTAAGACTTTCTCGACAGTGGCTGTATGCGCGTAGCCATGTGAGAGCGTTTCGAGGGGGGGTGGACTCTCCCCACGCTCGGCCGTACCAGGGCATTTGGGGCAGTCTTAAACATGAATGGGAAAATTTGAACAACCAAAACAAATATGATTTAATTGACCATTACACGTTATTTTTTAATATGTATTTCTCTTTTAAATAGTGTAAACTTGCGTTAATTTTCTCCGGTACAATTTTCCTAATTCGTAGTGTTGTACGACTGTAAAAAGGAGTCATGAAACCTATTAATCGAACCATCTTCCTTCGTTCGGTAGGTACCGATCATTATATAGAAATAGATAAAACCACGGTTCCTCGTCAATTTCTGGCTGATCTACATAAAGGACTAATATGAGGGCTCCTTTACATAGTTAAAGTTATCAGGACAAGTTATAGAAAACAGAAGAGGTGTATTCGACCATGGTTTACAAATGGGTGAAACTACATATCACAAATCCCTACCATTTGATCCCATGTTTATTTCTGCCCTGCTCCATTCTTAATTTGCATATTCATCTTTCTCAATTCATATGAATTCATTATCACATAATTACCGTAACGATATCGCTCTTATTACATATTTTATTCATATAAATGGTATCATTGCAGTAATTATTATGACCTTTCCCATTGGGTATATCAATCACATAATTTACTTTGTCCTATTAATTCTCATGCAGACGTTCACCATTTTAAACTTATAACATTGTCTAGTTCAATTCCATTTTTGTATACTGAGTAGTGGACAGTGTAAGTCAATAATGATGGCAAAGTATAATATAGTGATAAGCTTAAAATAACACCGATGAATTTTCAGTTAGTTTGTAACTATACAGAAAACAGCTTATATAGATGGATAATTTGTGGAAAAGAAAACTATAATATTGAGAAGTATGAATAAATCTTACATGATTAGTAAGCTTATTAATGCCTTCTGTAGGTTACTCTGCTTGTAAATCAAATACACAATGACATACAAATTCGTCCTTATAAATATAAGTTGTCTATTTTCTCGAACCCTTAAAAGGATCGAAACAGATTTTTATGAGTCTCCGCATTATTCCTAGTTAAGATTAAGACTCGAGGTTTAGGGTAAGGTAAATGTTTTCACCACGAAATGGAATTAGTTATAATGTGAAAGTGCTCTGTAGTCATATGTAAACTTGGATCTCGCCATACTCGATAAGTTCTTCTATAAAATGTAGCGTTATCAGGTATAGGTTTGTTTAGATGGAATTAAGGGTTTAAGGTTAAGATTTAGAGAATGTCTGTTTACCTATTGTATAAAATCAAAAGAGATAGTATTAAGCATTTGATTCGTTTAATATTATCATTTTACTCTATGATTGAGCCTTACTTGAAAGGATAAATCAGAGCTGCTACACTTGGACTTTCACGACCGGAAGCATAATCGAAATCTAACATAGACTGAACAGCTTTCACTTGTAAACCCCATATTAAACACTTTGTTTTCACTGTAAAAAGTGGTTCTTCATAAATAGTTTCATGATTATTACCATTAGTAGTTGTAGTAGTAGCAGTATTGATAGTAGAAGAGAATTCAGAAACCTTGCGAGTTTGATTGGTTACCACTGGTGTTGATTTTTCTGAATTCTTGAAATACGATTTACAAAAAAGGGAGGAATTCAAATCAACTGATTACAACAATAAAATGAAAGTGCTCAAGCGGTGCATAACTAGATTAGTTAAATCAGTATGATAATTGAACAAACCAGTGACTTAGTAGTACTTTTAACACCTCCAGTATCGCATACAAACGCCTAACGTCTATACCATTGAGCCGGCATCCAACAGAGTTAATATCTAGCTTCAATCAATCCACCAAACAATCTTCCATTGTCTTCAGTGGGTAAGTGCCTCATATCCGACATGGATTTGCTCCACTGGTCACAGCTTCTCACAAGAATTCAAGGAATTTCTTCTCAAAGCAAGCTGGTCACTAGTGAGCATATGGTAATTGTTAGTACAGGGTTGTGGAGATTGTTGAGTTCCATCGAAAACAGCGGTCTCGACGATTAGCGTTCGTGTACGAGACCGGAGGTCCTCGATTCGATTCCGGTATCCGAGTTCGTGGATACACACTCCCACACTAGGAAAAAACAGTTGTTCAAGTTTTCAATGGTGTTCTGACTAATATCGGTTGGTGATTTCAATAAAAGTCAACGATCTTCACAACCTATACTGATAGTTAATTTATTCAACTGAGTTGCACAGAGATAGGTTAGAATGAATAATAATAAAATACAGTTCATTACAAACCCTCTATGTATGTGGCAGTCAGTCCTATACTCTGAACAAAGAAACAACAGCAGTATATATATATATATATATATGGCTCAGAGTAGGTTATATAAACCTGTAATTGTTAAGTGAGATGCACAAGGATGTAATCTATTCCTAGAACTCTCTAAATTCTCAGAAATCTAGTTGTTACTGAAGAACTATTACTGTTTAAAGACGCATATCACAAAAGTCTTGGCAGCAAATTATCTGACAGTTGTAAAATTGACAAATAGAAGATAACACAGGTTGTTACTTTGTATATGTTGATTGTCAGTGGTTTGGTAACAATATGAATCTTAAATAAAAACTTATTTTAAACAGTGACAAATACTTATATCAGTTCAGATCGCCGCGCCATTTCAGCACAGAGAGATGAAATCATTAAGACAAATCCTAGAGAAGTAGTAGTATCAGTGGTAGTGTGAGACCTTATGCATACACAATGTGATTCGATAAGAATCAAGAAATTTGAGCAATAAAAGGTGGGAGATAATCATAAAATTCATGATTCAAAGAAAGACGAAAAGTGAATGCACCTCTGTATCGTTAAGATTGGTTTTGAGTCATGTTACACAAAGTTTCCAACAGTTGGTTGGGATAGTTGTATGGACCATAACCAAATAGTTTGGACCAGCCTACATGGCTCGATTTAACAGTCAATGACATTTTGGATTAATATCACATTTTGCTTTGACCGTCTCTAAAGCTTTCTTCAGACATACTCTTCTACATCGGTAAATACTATGCATCAGGATAGGAGGTGATTAGTTATATATAATACAAATTCGAACTACTTCAGTTGATGAAGATTCACTACCTGATTAATCAATGTTCCATCTTTACGTAGTATCATGTATCTAATCATAATATTAATGATTCCATGATCTCGAAATATGTGAATAATTCTTCAAGGTCATCTATGATAAAACACTGGTAACTTATAAATATCCTCTACTACTAAAGGTGGTCACATTTCACAGATAGAAAATGTAATAGAACGAGCTAGTAACAAACAATTTAGCCTAGTGATTACATAAACAAGGTCATTTATTTCATCTAGATTTACATAGTTAATTGATAATTAATCTCTAACTGCGTCATTGCCTAAAATACAATCGGATTATTGAACTTTCTTAATAGATAATATGACCGGTTTTAAATTCAATGTTAATAATATAACATTGAAATCATTTTATTTTCATTTATGAATGAAATGAGACTAATTTTTCACATGAATCAATATTACCGACATTCGGTCTATTGTGAAATTAAAATGAATTCAGTTTATATATTATTGTTCATGTATTTCATATCATTTCGATAATGAAAAAAAAATGTTCCTCTATGTTTATTCTTTATCATCATAACGACGATGGTATTTTGATTTTGTTTGTTTCTATAGTGAAGTGACCTATCAGGTTGGATTGATGTAAATATTTGTGCCAGATTCCTAGGTTGACTGTGAGTCAAGTCAGTTAGCAACAATGTAGAACTTCGTATGTATGTACATCGGTTCGAACTGTCATAATTACATTAGCACAGAGATGCAGTTGTCGATTCAAATCCCGTAGTGATAGACGTAGTAAGAGTATAAGCAGTAATTGGAAATATTAGGGTTTGAAGATATTATTCAAGGAGTATAATCCAGTGAAATAAATTTGGAAAGGGAGAAAAAGGACATGAGGAATTCAGAAGATTAGAAGTCGGGAGAGCACAAAGAGTGGATGCACCTGAGCCATTGCAAACGATTTTGAGCCATGTCATTCAAGGTCTCTAACCATTGGTTGCTATCATCTCGCTGATCCGAACCAGGTAGTCTATACCTACCAACATGGCTCATTCCACTTGTCAGTGACTTCAAAGATTGGTGCCATGTTTCGGTCTGGCCGCCCCTAATTTATGGACGTGAAATGTGGTCTTTAAAAAATAGAAGATATTCATAGGTTACTAGTGTTCGACTATACATGTGTTCGAACCATTGCTCGTATATTTTAGGACCATCAAGTTAGCAATTCTTAGGTTAGCTACACAGGTAAATGTGGTAAATCCTTTAACAAGATAATGAATTCTTATCGACTGAGTTGATTAAGACATTTATTACGTACGTGCATTCACTAATTACCTCAACGAATGATGATGGCTGGTGTAGAAGTATATTGGAAGAAAGCTCGGAGCAGTCAAACCAAGACAGTGTCAGTCCATGAAAACACTGACTATTGAACTGAGACGTGTAGGTAGGTACAAACTACCTACCTAATTGGAGTCCGCGATATTATTATAACTAGTGGTTAGTCTTTGAATGACATGGCTTAAAATCGTTCACTCTTTCTACCCTTAGATCTTAAGTTTCTAAATTTCTCATAGATGCTTTTCTATTATTTTACTAATATTTTCTTCTTGAATTGTATCCTGAACGCATAATCATTTTTATTATCAGTAATACTGTTACTCTATCTCTACTACTCTGAAATCCGATCTAACAAATTCATCTTACTGTGCTAATGAGATATGAAAACTTGAACCGATGTACATATCTCCCAGGCTCCACATTGCGTTTGACTGATTTAAAACTATGTATATGAAGCATTTTGGAATAATCATAACAACGAGTAACCTAGGGAGATAGAAATACTGCTAATTAGGTTGTTCATGAAATCCACATAGTCGAGATACATATTTCTAATACGATATTCAAACATGATCCGCGAGAGATTTCGGGTTAGTTAGACTAGCAACTGAACTATAACCTGATCGATAAAATCCAATCAACATTAAGTTCTATCCAGTATTTAGTGGATCAACCAATTGTAAATATATCAGTTGTACAGAAAGCCATTTGTCAATTAAACAGCCAGATAGTAATCTCTTTAATCACGGGCATTAAGTCCACAGATATGAATCACACAAGGAGTATCAGCTTCCCCAAGCATTTAGCTACTTCATGCTGATGATAAATGCTAAGGGGCATCAACCAATGTCCAAAACGTGTTGTCGTTTGCCTCTAATCAACTAACAGTCAAAAAAAATATACTTGAAGTTAATTCCACTCACACTATTGGTTATATTACCGTCTTCAGATAGATAGAATACGATCAGCACACAGATGATTATATACAAACATGAGATCGGTAACTACTACTATTACTTACTTTATGTTCACAGCCAGAACCACTGTAACTGTACAATGATAGAGTATCTGCAGATGACTGAATATGATCTACTGTAGGTGGAGGTATTTGACGTAAACCAAATGCCATTGATACGATAGCAGTCATATGAGTTTCAGGTCCAAATACATAAATTGGAATATCTATAGTACGACCTTGATGTATTGACAGAAAACGAATTAAAGTAAGAAAGCTTTTTACAAATGTAGAATGTTAATTTAAAAATATAAAACAAATAATAACAATAATATTAAATATGGTAAGTTGGTGAGCTCTACTAGATTAAATATTGTACATGTCAAATTGTGAAATAAGCCGATTACTGATTATTCGAATAAGTAGTTGTTATTACCGGCAAGCTGACAAAAACATTCATTGAAAAATATGTTAGCTGTTTCGATTACTAGAAATTACGACAATTAGTCAACAATCTTAGCCTCCAAATGCCATGGTACGATCAAGGGTAGGGAGAGCCCGCTCTCCCTCTTCAAATGCTTTCGTACAGCCACGCATATATAGTCACTACCAGGGAAGTCCTACTCACTACATTCTCGCGACTAGAGTAGTGGACGAAAAATGGATGTTCAGCACTTAAACCGGATTGGTGGGTACAAAGGGACCACCTAAGGAAGTTGGGAAACCTTGATTCACAACTAATGGTATATATGGGCTCCAGAATTGCGTATGAACTCATTTTTGATCACAGGCTACCATAGGACTGCATCTCCTAACGTCGCTCCACTGCGTTGTGAATAAGACCTCTAGGTCAATGTTTCGGAGAGTGATCACCTAGGGAAATTAGCCGCTTCGGTTTGGGTACACGGATAGTATTCTAGCCCATACACAAATTCAACGACTTTCGTGGCGTATATATATCTATGTCACCCTTTGTACCAATGTTTATATTCTCAAATGAATGAAATGAATAAATAAACGACGGTCTTTTTGGTTCACTTTACATAAATCCAAAGAGCAATTTTTAACTTCCCCAATAATCAAAAATATATAAGCTCATTCGGCGAGCATCGGTTCTTATCTGATTTCACACAATAGTTCATCGTGAAACGCAACTATTAAGAAAGTAGGGATTTACAGGTAGAACTGTAAATCAAGATTACACTGTCTGCTTGTCACTTATTCCCTCAATTATGTATTTATTAAGCTCTGCTACGAGTGTTAGGAAAACAGATATTTGATAACATAAACCATTCACAGAAGAAGTACACACTATTATTTCTCATTATAATAGACTTTTTAAACCAATATTTAACAAGTGAGATGAAATAAAGAGTCAAAAACAGAAGTTATACTGCAGATCCAAACGACAATGATGCAATGTGTGAATATTTTTAAGGAGGATATTAGTGTATCCCTTAAAAGACACTACTTACTAAAGATGAGAGTTTTACGTTACAAGAATGAACTTTTAGCGGTCATTTTAAACATTTCAAGATTGTAATTTTCCTATTTAGGGATAACTCTGTTAGAATTTTCAAGAGGAATTTCGTTACCCAATATCTACTTGAACGATCAAAACTGGCATTGGGATAATTACTTATCTCTTATGACACATGGTGTTATGATGGACAGTGTCCGAAATCCGATACTGATACAAGGTATGCTATGGTCAACTCCCAACTGATTAATTAAACGAGAACACAAGAGTGAGCGAGAAAGTGTATTGGACTAGCAAATGAAATGCACAAATACTCATTCATATATATATACTACTCTATCCTTAGGAAATTGACCCATTTTTATCCCGATGAAACGCACTTGAACTTTGGGCCATTTCTGATCGCCATTGATGAGCACTGGTTAGGCTACTCTCCATATCACATGATGATCATATACATGATACAGCTCAAATAAAGATTAGCATTTAGTTAGACATTTAAATCATTCCATTAAATACATTCGGTAACATAATCGATCACTAGTAAATTGCTGGAGACTACGACTGACTTTAGTCTTATTTATATTAGTATAAATATATTGATGGACTAACTAAAGCTTACTGGTAAATATGTACACAAAAAAACTACAAAATAGATCCAAATTATCTTTAAGTTTTATACAACTAAAAATAATAGTTTAGCTCTATCCTACCCAATTCACGCATTACACGAAGACCTTCCTGGTAGTTGGGACCAGCACGACGGACAAATATACGTATATTATGTCTCTTTAATTGTTCTTTGAATTCTGTCAAAGCACGCACAATACCTTTAAATGTAGCAGCAATATTGGTGAAATTTGCAATTCCTCCACCGATTAGTAGAACTTTACCTGGAACAGGTTGAGATTTTTAAAAGAATTTCGTAAATAAAACAGAAAAAACATCCTTGAAGTAAGTTCTAATGATGCTGTCCCTAGAACTAATACGTAGTCAATGTTAAGATTTGTGAAAACATGATGTGAAAAATACAATAGAAACTTAAGGATTTAATTGAATCATGATGAAGAGAGTTTACTATATGTACAGACCAGTTAGTCAATTAGGTAAAATCAACTCAAGGCTTCACACAAATATGTACTACCCAAAGATATTACAGCTTTACTGTGACTCATTTACCAAGTAAATATTTAAGTATTCACCATTGAATCACACTGTTTGCATGAATGAGTGATATTGTAAAAGTGTATTAATTGCGAGGAGTTACCGAGTACTTACGTAGTTTACATATACACAGCTTTCAATAGGCGATTTGCAACTTTCGGTGTCTTCTGTAGTCACGACCGCCTTCTCATCTAGTCTCCACGCGTTATGATAACACCGTGCTTTCGATGTATTGAAACAACTCGCTCCGTCTGACAATCGTTGTAACTTTAACGCAACGTTCCGCTACAAACTACCTACAAACAATCTTGTGAGTAGTGCCCACTACAACACTAGCCTACTGCTCGAACCGAAATAAGTGGGTTGACGTTCGGAACCATGATACTTGTGACACAGAATATTATAAGCTTTATAAAACTTTTCCGTGTAACCAAATGTAGTATTAAAAACTGTGTATATTTAAATTGACGTTGTACGTGGTGGTTAACTGGATTATGAAGACCACAACATTTGGCGGGAAGCACGGAGTACAATGGACAGCCTGGATGCGACTAGACGATTTAAACTTCGCAGACCACCTAGCTCTTCTATCCCATACACAACAACAAATCCAGGTCAAGACAGCCAGTGTAGCGGAAGCCTCTGCGTCAGTAGATCTCAATATACAAAAAGGAAAAACCAACATCCTCAAATACAATACAGACAGCACTAACCCAATCACAATCGATCAAAAAACTGTGAAAGTGGTGGAAAATTCTACCTACCTGGTCACAATCAACGATCAACAACAAAAATCTTATACAAACGTAAAGGCAACGATTGACAAAATAAGAAAACAACTCCCATAATTAAAAAACATACGGGACTCAAAACAATCGTCAAACAACATCAAAGTCACATTCTTCAATATCAACGTCAACACAGCTTGTTCCGTTATACGGAGCTAAAACTTACAGAATCATCACAACCATCATCAAAATAGTACAATTATTTGCGAACAATTGTCTACACAAGATACTCAATGTCCATTGGTTGCATATCATCAGCAACAATCCATTGTAGGAGAGAACAAACCAGCTCTCAACTGAAGAGCAAATCAGTAAAAGAAGTTAAAGGTGGATAGGACACACATTGCACAAATCATCAAACTGCATCAAGAGACAAGCGCTAACTTGGAATCCTGAAGGGAAACGGAAAACAGGAGGACCAAAGAACACATTGCATCGAAAGCACATTGCATTGGAAGCAGACATCGGAAGGATGAATAGCGACTAGAAACAACTGGGAAGGATTGTCTAGGACAGAGTTGGATGGAGAATGCTGGTGGGTGGCCTATGCTCCTGTACGAGGGGTAACAGGGGTGAGTGTGTAAGGTAATTTAGAGGGTAAAACAATCAACATTCAACCCAATAGATCATTGGTTCTAATCCTATACCACTAACTTCTGTCTTAGGCAGTCGGGTATTATACAAAGCCAAATGAAAGAATTTTCCTCTGATTACATTTCAAATTAAAAGCAAAATTCAACAGAGTAAAAAACTATTGAAAATGAAAATCTTACCATCTGGATGTAGTTCTCCAGTAGTCATCAAAGTTAGAATTGTTTTTGAATATTCATAAGTTAATTCTTCTGATGGTGCTCCAGAATATTCACCATAATTCGCTAAATCTTTTACACCTTGACTTGTACCGCCGGCTGCTTTGACTTTTTCAGCTAATTCACAAACTGTATCAGCATAAATTACTGAAGCTCCACCACCTGCACTCATTGTCCATATACGACCATTTGGATTAAGTATAGTAAGCTTTAATGAAGCACCTGTTCGAGCATCCAACTTTGCGATGTACGCTTCCTAAATTAAAAAATATCTGAAAATATAACTTTATTTTGATTGAAAGTATATAATCATTTATTAAGTACAGATTCATATAGATGGGCTTGAGTCATCATTAAATATGACAGCTGATATGATAATACTCGATTGTTCTGACCAAAGTAGATGGAGTGAGGTTCGAACACGAACTATAATAGATGAAAGCGGAACCTCTAGACCATTAGGTCACCGTTACAAGTTATATACGCTGGAGAAAGCAATTCAAGCGAATATGTATTTTCGATACTTTCTCATCACCCTTTAAAATTTACAAATAAATATATTTGGATTTATCTGGCTGGACGCAGTTAACAAAGAAACCTTGTGGATTTAGATTTCATGAAGGTTATTTCCCTGAGGACTGAAAACACGCTTTCCCGACGAGTACTAACTGGCATGGAAACAAGGATTGCTTTTGACTACTTTTAACCAACACAAAAAAATAGCCCAGGAGATGTCAAGTAACTTATATTAATGACAACATTGCAACTTGATTGGTAGAATTAGAGCAACACAAGGGACTCGGTAAGTTAGTCGGTCAGTCAAAACGTAGAACCTGGTATTTATGTATATCAGTTCAAGTTGCTATATCTCATTAGTACAGAGATGGAATTGCCAGACCAAATCCCAGAAAAGTAGAGGTAGTAACAGTATCAGTAGTGATAAAAAAGATTAGGTATTAAAGATACAACTCGACAAGAAAATATAAATTAGTGAAATGAAAGCGTTTATGAGGAATTAGGAATCTCAGAATTTGAGGGGGAGACAAAAAAATCTATGCATCTGCGTTATTGCAAACGATTTTGAGCCACGTCGTTCAAATACGCCAAGCATTGGTTACGACCACCATACAGATACCAACCAAGTAGTTTACACCTGTCATCATGGCTCAATCCAATCGTCAATGACTTCATGGACTGATACCACTTGTTTTGGCTACCCGTAGCTTCCTTCTAAACTACTTCTACATCGAAGAACATCGTCTCTTGAGGTACTCGATGGTTGACTACACGTCAGACATGTGCCAACTACCTCAAGTGATGTAGATTCACTACCTGATCAATCGATTTTTCGTATATACATAGTGCCTTGTGTCTAACCCCAATTTTGTTCATTCAATGGTCCTACAATACACGAGTGATACTTGAAGGACACCTAAAATCTAATACTGATAATCTACGAATAATCTGTCATCATAAAGGTCATTCACACAGCTATAGATGATGATGGATTGAACAGGTTCTCGGAGTAGACATATATCTTGCTTACACTATAAATGACGCAAGTTGGCGAAAGTCAATGACGCTTTGTGAATTGGTGCCGAGATTTCACGAGAGATCAAACCATCGAGACTGATAAGACTACCAGTAAGAGTGAACAGGTAAACACACTGAGCTACTAACTTGACTCTATATGATAAATTCGAGAGTTGACTGGGTTCGGTAATGAAGCAACATTTAGCATTTGGAAGGAGAGAATCCTATTTAAACATATCTGAATCGTTGTTTCAGGTGGTCAGGAGACTGCATTTTTTCAGCGTCTCCACCAAGTAGAATTATGTCATCTGCCCATACTAAGTGAACAAGTGAATCTCGTGCTAGAAAATCAACCCCTGAAAAGTCAAACGATGAAACCGTTGTCTCTGGAGGAATCATGTCCATCATGACGAAGTCAAGTAAAAATGTGGAGAGGACAGTCTTGATGAACATCATTTGAAGTACCCAATTTTGATGACGTTTTGCTATAAGTTCTCACTTCACCAGTAGTGTTTGAATAGAGAGTTTGTACAAGGTTGATGTAGTTCTTTGGTACATATCTCAATGGTAGACACTACAATAGAACCTCAAGACCAATAGAGTCGAATGCCGACTTAAGTTCAAGGAATACAACCATAGATGGACGTTGAAAAGTATGTCTATGTTTCAGAACCTGGTGGAGGGTGAATATTTGGTCTGTACATACATTCACATCTAGGTCTGAAACCAGCCTGGTTTCTCGGGTCCGCTCTTCACGAGCTCTAGTTAGACTTCCAAGTATGTTTGAGGCTAATATTTTAGATACTTTATTTGTTAGACTGATTCCTCTGTGGTTATCGCAAGAGGATTTTTATCCTTCTTCATAAACTGGGAGACCAGTCAGATGGGGTTACCTTCAGTTTCCAGATATTAGCTAAAACTTCAGTTAGTTTAACTGACAAAACTGGACCACCAACCCAAAAAATCCCGGCGGTTAATCCATCAGATCCTGTTGCTCCCCTCACTTGAGATTGCTTATGGCCGCTTCAACCTTATTGAGAGTTTGCTATTTAGGTTGCATGGAAATGGCAAATAACAGAGGTGTGGTTGAAGGTTAGTTGAACTGTTCCCTAGAGCGTTCTACCCAGCTGTCCGATCTGTTTGATAGAGAGTGAATTATGGTCCAGTTTTTTATCCGGAATGGTCTAAGCAACAGCCTAATTTTTAATATCCGTTTCCTTGATAAGTCTACTGTTACCTACCGCTACTGCCATTTCTATCTCCTCTGCTTTCGCTACCCACCACTGCTCATGATCACTGGGTAGGGTTCTTATCAGCTCACTTTCAAGCTGCCTTAGTTCTTCATCGTGTTCAGAGTCAAGCGGGATGAGTTTCCGAGCATCTGTCAGTTCTGGAAACACCTATAAGATCCATTGATTTTTCTTAACCTTATGGTTTAAGTTAATAGTAGAGATCACTGTTGTTCCCACAGGTTTTTGGATATAGTGACAAGCTACCTTGGGGTGGATATCACTTTCACGGTTGAATAACTCCCCTAGTTGTCCCTGAAATATATTCTCAACTTTTTCATCATTAAGTTGAACTTTAAGGAATTCCCTTGTAGTGACTTTTCTACGTCCAATAAGATGCAGACAAATATGTGCTCGAACTTAAGCATGACCCGAGTCCACATATGTGTTCCAGAATATGCGACAGTCTTCTATCGGGCCTATCCAAAGATCGCTAATGGCAATATGGTTTAATGATTAAACAAACACAACATTGGTTATTACTCAGCGATCAATCAATATAAACATTTCTCTTTGTAATTGTAAAACGTGATGATACATAACCGAAAACGCTCGTTTGTTTAAAATGTTTACCGATTGATCATTATGAGAATATTCGAGTTATTATGAATTCATAAACATAGTTATTCGGCTAATACAGAAAGCTGTGCTTAAAAGTTGACTGCCTAGTTCAAAGTATAGAGCTAGAGGAGGAGAGATTTTGGAAGACATTAATTATCAAAATAATCACAGAAAGTAATTTGATAAAAGTATGTAATTCCAAGTGGAGAAAATGGAATCTTTCATAATTACAAATCAAAATAAAGATATTTTCAGTATAGGGTTATAGAGATTGTTGTCTATTTGAAATCATGAATCGAATTAAGTTAGACAACCTGTGAAAACCTGGAATCACTGGACAGCTATTTCGTCTTAACAAGCATCCACCAACCCGCACGCAGGAATCGAATCCAACACCGTCGATATCGCTCACGAACGCCTAACCTCTAGGCTACTGAGCAGCCATCCAACAAAGTTAATATCTAGCCTCAGTCGATCCACGATATTGAGCAACCACCTTCCATTGTCTTCGGTGGGTAGCTGCCTCAAAACCAACACGGATTAGCGCAATGTCGTGGATTGATACAGGTTAGACATTGAAACCGTTAAATGCCGGTCCGGTGACCTAGCAATTAGGCGTTCGAGCGAGAGACCGAAGACCCTGAGTTCGATTCTCACTGGCGGGATCGTGAATACGCGCTGCTGAGAAGTCCCATACTACGACAAGACGGCCATCCAGTTATTTCAAGTCTTTAGTTGTTGTATAACTTAGCTCGGTTCATGATTTTGACGATAAGAAAATCTGTAAACATTTGTGTACGCATCAATTACGAGTAATATATAGTAAAAAATTAAAGCCATGTTAAAAAGAGATTTAATGAACCATTTTCTCTATACATAACTCTCATTTGAAATTGTGGACGATTAAAGCCTATGAAATGTGAAGGTTAATGTAGACTTTTCGGCAAGATTGGTTGAATAAACCAACAGTGTAGGCTCGAACAATCTCCATAACAACGTCTCCAGAAATCAGCTAAGACGGCTGCAATGTTATTCTGAACTTGTAAAACTGACCAGTATCACTCCAGAATCATTTAAAACAAGAACGATGGAATACTATGTCAAAGAATATTTCTTACATATCAGACTTCCATAGTTGGAAATTAGTTGTAATAAAATAAATACCCTACTACAAAGAATCTATTTGTTCTTCAGAACATCCAAATTATTTCTTTTTGTAAACAGTTAAGAAGAAAGTATGGAACAAATAGAACCGGTTCAACATTCTATGGTGTTTTGCCTCTATATATACCTGCATATAGCGGTGCTTTTATGGTTAAAGAAACTAGATATTTGACCAAAATCCACCAATTCAAAACCAATCTCAGTTTAAACAGTCGGATAGAACAACTAAATCTGACATAAAATGTAAAGCTGATTACATGGTAAATAAATTATATTATATATTTATTAGCAACACCAGTAGTACAAAGTGTAAAAAAGGTGGTGATATGGATTTTTTTGAAAATCAATCAGTCAGTAAGTAAGTCAATCATAATCAACATACAGAATCTGGCACAAATTTGCGTCAGTTTAAGTTGACATATTATATACGCACGGAAGTAATATTAGTAATAATAATAATTATTATTATGATAATTACCTCTTTAGTTTCAGTTTTACCAAAACCAAAAGGAAATTTCAACATTTCTCCATTCACTGACCATTCCAAACTTGAAGTGAACAAATGTTCTGCACACTGATCCAATTTGGCAGCAACATCCAATATATGAATATATAACTGTTCGTTGATATCATTATCTCCATCCTGTAGTTCATTATCGTTAATGATATGATAACTGCTACCATTACAATCATTAGGTTTGTTCGTATTCATATTCCATTTACAAATAACTAATGGATTGATTTCTAAATAGGTGAAGTATAATTTGTCAAAAACTGAATGCAATTCAACGATGAAATCAGCTAGCATCCTAATAATAAATATGTTTGTTGTTCAATTAGAATATATATAAGCATATATGAATTTTAATAAAACATTAAATGGTTACAAGAAAGGGACTCCTACTAACTTGACATAACGGCTGGGCTTGACTGTCGTGATGACCCAGTCAAAGTATATATTAGCTGTAACATTTGGTACTTAAAGTTTTACCACGCCAGTTAGATTGGTTAGAAAGAAGGTTAGATTACAAGCAACAAACTTAAGAACCAAAGGAGAAGTTTTACTGCCGATTATACTGAGATATGACAACAGTAATATGTTTCCCTCAAGAAACTTGAATCTGCAGAGATGTCTGCTTTTCACAGAGGACGGATAGTCGGAAAATGTAAGTTTTAAGAAACGTCTTGCCCTGCTCATTTATGTTGCTAACAGTAAGGCTATAAAGGTGAGGAACTAAATCAAAGGTTATTCACAAAACGCTTATATTTGATTGGACTTAAATAGTTGTCTTCTCGGTTCCGTGACCAGAATCGCAGGTTATTACCCAGTTCCCTTCCTGAGTCCCTTAATAAGAGGTATTTTCCCATATTGTGAGAGGCCGTGAATCAGTAACTCCCCTCGTACCTCTACCAGAATCCGAGCTAACCTTATATTTAAATTCTCTTTCTATATTTCTTCGTTAGAACAATATTGTTTGCTGACATTAGTTTAATTTATAGATATTTTTCGCAACGTACTGATATCATTTGAGATAAAAGTAAAAGTCCAGGGATAACTGATGTCAATATTCATATTGAGATTCGAACCCCATGTCTAGCGATTCGAACGTCAACGAGTTATCCAAACTGCTTAACAGGTTTGAAAGTCTAAGGGTTTGTAATTTATAGCTGTCAATATTTAGGAGTGTAATTGATCACTCTCAGTTGCCATATGCCCATTCTAAGAGGACTGACTTGAAATAATCTTTATGCTTGGTTTGGTAGAATATTAACTTCGGTCTGGTATACATTTGTCTCAGGTTTCAATGAGCCTAAAGATAGTGTTTTGCTTTAGAAAATAAATATTCACCAAATTTTAGGGAAAAATTGTTCATTGAAAATAAATAATCGAGTCGTCATATTTAACAAGGTATCGCCAACAAACCTTGCACGCTTCGGACATTTTACTCCTGAAAGCAGTGAACTCTGTAATAATTGATCGGCGGAACAACCAGCTTTCATTCCAGAACCAGATTTCATAATATCTTCAACTGAAACCTCAAAACGTTTAGCCTATAGAAGCAAGATATAGACGATTACTCAGAAAATATGTGAGCACAAATATGTGTTCGACAAAATTATTTTCAAATGCCTGGATTTGTGAATATTTATCTGCCAGTGCAGCAGAAACCCATGCATCAGTAGACCTCAACATACACAAAGGAAAAACCAACATCCTCAAATACAACACAGACAACACTAACCCAATCACACTCCATCGAGAAACTGTGAAAGTGATGGAAACTTTTACCTACCTGGTCAGAATCAACGATCAACAACAAAAATCTGATACAAACGTAAAGGCAACGATTGACAAAATAAGAAAACAACTCCCATAATTAAAAAACATACGGGACTCAAAACAATCGTCAAACAACATCAAAGTCACATTCTTCAATATCAACGTCAACACAGCTTGTTCCGTTATACGGAGCTAAAACTTACAGAATTATCACAACCATTATCAAAATAGTACAATTATTTACGAACAATTGTCTACACAAGATACTCAATGTCCGTTGACTGCATATCATCAGCAACAATCTACTGTGGGAGAGAACAAACCAGCTCCCAACTGAAGAGCAAATCAGAAAAAGAAGTTAAAGGTGGATAGGACACATATTGCACAAATCATCAAACCACATCGAGACAAGCGCTAACTTGGAATCCTGAAGGGAAACGGAAAACACGAGGACCAAAGAGCACATTGCACCGAGAATTGGAAGCAGACACAGTAAGAATAAATAGCAACTGGAAAGGATTGTCTAGGACAGAATTGGGTGGAGAATCCTGGTGGGTGATCTATGCTCCTCCACGATGGGTAACAGGAGTAAGTTTAAAAAACTTATCACTAACATTATCTGGTGAAGTACAGAAAGTAACGCTCAGTAAAAGAAATTTTGTTTCAGATTAGCGCTCCTAAACACTACTAACTAACAATTGAGCTCGAACTTAGATTAAGAAATCTCGGTTTCATAGCTAGTCCAATATTGTTTAACGAAGTTGGGTGGCTTCCCAATAATGCTGAGTGACACTTGCACTTAATCGCAGAATGACGGAAGTTAGAAATGGCAAATGTTTTCGAGCTAAGTAGTTAAGAACTAATGTGTTAACAATGCCAAAAATAAGCCGAGCATTTGACTTGGTAGAGGACTAGTTTTGTTGCACTCTTGAGAAGACCCAGGCGACGGCGAAACTGTAAGTGATTTTTCCTGGTATCAGTCCGAGATAAGAAGAATTTATCTTCAAAATAAGCCTAGATAGAATATGTAGTATTCTGAAAATTAGTTGATCAAATAACAGTCATTTCTTGTATAAAACAGTCTAAATCTTTTTTTTTCAAATTTATTTCGAACGTTGTTGATGTATTAATATATGAATTTAACTTTTTTCTATTTTAGCTGCCTATTTCGTTTAAATGCTTCAATGTAAGCCCAAACTAAAAAAAGTACGAATCCAATGTTTCAACACTAACCTCTTCTTCCCGTTTGTCCTAATTCTAACTATTTTTTGTCTCTTTAGACAGGTTATTTTTAGACTGTACTGCTAGATGGAACGCTTGAACGACGGCGTGCAGAAGTATAGCATCAATTCATCAATTCATAACAGTCCTTTCGCTGTAACAGTCAGTGACTCAGTATTATCTAGGATAAAAGTATATTATACTGGAACACATATTTTTGTCAGATCTACATTGTAAAAAAATTGGTACAATGATTCAACCAAAAATCTGCCAAATCACAACCCCTCTATTAGACTGTTGGCTACAAAACTGTCTAACTATTTAGAACTCAGTTAATTTGAAGACCTGATAAGCAGCAATGTTCTGTACGAAAATTCTTCGAATTAAAATGTCTTGGAAGAAAGCTAGGGGCGGCCAAACCAAAACATGGCACAAGTCCATGAAGTCACTGACAAGTGAACTGAGTCATGTTGGTAGGTGTAGACTACCTGGTTGGGGACCGCGAGATGATAGCAACCGATGGTGAGAGACCCTGAATGACATGGCTCAAAATCGTTTGCAATGGCTCAGGTGCATCCACTCTCTGTGTTCTCCCAAATTCTAATCTTCTGAATTCTTCATGTCCCTTTTCTTTTCCGCTTTCCAAATTTATTTCACTGGATTATACTCTTTAAATAACATCTCCAAACCCTAATCTTCCCGATTACTGCTTATACTCTTATTACCTCTACCACTACGGGATTTGAATCGACAACTGCATCTCTGTGCTAATGTGGTGTGGCAACTCGAACTGATGTACGTACGTACGAAGTTCTACCTTGTTACTGACTGACTGACTGAAATGTCTTGTTAAAACAGCTCCATTATTCAATTACAAAATATCAGTGAGTTAGGAGCGAAAATCAGAACACAATAATATGAGTCCATTTGCTCCGTTGATTCTCTAATGGTGTTTACAAATGAGAAGTAATAGTAGTAATTCGGAAAAAACGAGTGTACAAACTTTGTACGCAGTACGCACCTCCGACTACATCCTATAGAAAGGAAGACTAAGAGAATATCTCCCAACGGTATGATCCCACATCATTTCCTCCACAGTGAATAAACAGTTGATATCTCGAAAAATTCAATGTATAAATAAATCCACATTTAGTGAGTTTCTAGAGATATTTCCATCAAATGATTTAAACCCAGTTTGTCTATTAAAAAGGATGATATTCTCAACGTTGCATTGTTGTAGCGGGTAACATGGTACTCCATGCTTTTAGTTACAAATACCCTTACCTTATTCTTGATTCTTATCTGAGCTCCGTTCATTTTACGCTTCTAACCAACAGTCATTGTAGTTGAGCATTAATTTTAAATTTCTACAAGCGTCTTTATTAGCTGTTCTGTTTTCTCTTATTGAATATTCATAAAAGTAACCTACGGAAAATCAACCGTATAGACTATTCTTGAAATTTGTCCTCCATTTCTTGCATTTTACTGGTCCCTCATATTGGTCAAGTTTTCTTTCTAGAAATGTGATGTGAAGTATACACAATAATTTCTAATCCTTAATGCCCTAGTTCCTATGTTGTAAGCAGTTGGAGAGAATCCGTAAAGTAATTAAACTTATACATGTGGACACATTTGTTCTAGATTTGTTAGAAGTAACAGGGAAGAAAGGCTATATAGAAGAAAAACTGTGGAAGACAACATTTTTGCATAAGATAACTAAAATATTGTACATACCTTAGAATCTACTTCACCCACATCTACTCCACCGGCATGATGAAAAAGGATAACATTTGAATTCCTTTGAGTGTACATACACAGATAGTACTCTTCTTGCTTTAAAAACAACAAAAATTTGTCTTTATCAAATTCCATTTAAAGCGACAGAGAAAATAAACAATAAAGGTTGTATAAATATAATGAGCTGAATTGCAAAATTACTATTGTTATAAATAGAACTCATACACTAAGAATATTAGCCAACTTTCACGAAAATCTATAGTAATCATTCAACACTTATAATGAAAAATTAAAATTAGTCAATATATGCCCTGTATATTGACCCGGATATCTAGATTATACAACTTCATGTGGTAAAACTTGTTCGAATTACCTGTTCATGTGGTACAAATGGTTCAATAAGGAAGCGATCGAGAATTCCACTGGTAGAACCGATCTAAAGTAAAATGTAAAACAATCTTAAATTTAAAAAAACTGAAACTAAAGATGTACAAGTAGTGACGATCTACAAGCTAAATATTTGCTCGAACTCTTACTGACTCGATAATGCAATCAAAGATCCTTAGGAGCGAAGCAAAACTTCGCGCTAACAATCCATCCTACTAGTTTCTAAAGGGAAAATAATCTCTGGTCGGTTGTAATGTAGGCTAAATGCTTGACTAAAAATATTGTAAAACTGAAAATTAGTGATCATAGCAGAATCGTTCATGTTACTTTTGATGTAATATTGTTTCAAGATAACGTTAAATTTATACAAATGAATATCGGTACAACTGTACACCAAAATGCATATGCGCCATAGAAATAAAATGAAGTTGTGAAAATACAGAGAAAGGATTACAACCAAAACTAGACAAATGAGTAAAAATAAACGAACGAGAGTAGTATATAACTGAAGAAGCAGATAAGGTGAAGGAGCCAGTGAATTCTTCTAGGTACGTCAAACATTTTAGGAAAAATGTACAAATTCACAACAGGATCTTCACTAGCTCCTATTCCAAACTGTTTGATAACATCGCAGGCCAAAGACGCACCATCTCTAGGACCCTAGCTAAAGAATCGTGATGGGCCGACAGATGTCGTGTCCGTACATTTTTTCTACATACCAGAGCCGCGTGCCATAATTGACTTAGTCGAGCTGGAAAACATCGATTTTAAATGAATAAAGTAAAAGAGCTTCAAAAGCCTGAGAACGGATGTAGCATTAACCCATCATCTTTGATTACCGACCACCATGGGAGTGCGTCACATAACGTTACCCCATTACCTTGGGGATTAGACATTACACCTACGGCAATTTTTCAAAGGAACTACTACTCATAAGGCAGTAGTCTAACAAGTTACAAATAAAACGGCAATGGTGATATAAATCGTACTGGTACAAGGTAAGGAAAAACAGACCTCATAAATTTAAACACTTTATAAAAGGAATGTCTTTAATATCTGGAACGGCTTGATTTCGAAACTTATTATAAAACAGATAAGAATAACGCCAACGAAAAATGAACCGAAAATAACAATGTGTACTGTTGCTCAGAACTTTCGAGAATCCGAACAAAACGAGGCTTTTGGAAATCTCATGCACTATGGAAAACACAGTTTTGTCAATAATACCGAATTTTAAAGCAACGAAACCCGAAATACTGACGACAGTAATTTTTCAAACAAGAAGATGAGCCACATCCAGTTAGGCCGAACCTTACACGTTTTTCAGCCAGTCTTACCAGTTACACTAGTAAATATTTAACTAAAATTCAAAAGAACGTCCTGTGAGCAGAATGGAGGCCAAATACCAACTGGATTTCAACATCGCCCCAAACTAAACCTCACTAAAATGAAGGAACTAGAAACAACAAAGCATAAAGTAATAACCTCTAGAGTACTTTTAATAACGTTCCATTCCCATAAAAAAGATTTTTTCTTAATGTGAAGTAACAACTAAATGTAATTACCGTGAATTTGCTCGCCAACAAACTTTTTATTTTCCCCTGTAAATCCGCCCAATGGAAGCCTGCAAAAACTAGTCCCAATTTTCCCCTGCGTTTTATGAGGACATCGGGCTTACTGACAAGATCCTACATAATATGTTAGCAAATATTAAAAAGCTTCCATACATTAAGTAATATCCATTCATCTGTGACTAGACTAACATCATCACCCACTTTAACTACTCTAAGTGGATTTTTCGCTAACTTAGAGTAGCATATCGAGTTGTATATAAGTAGCTTAGCAGATTCTTCGTAAACAGCCTTCGAAGACATTTGTTTTAAAGTACCAAGCTGAAATTGTACATTCTTTTGCTTCCGTAAAACAAAACACAAAATCACGATTTGTAGCTCTAGTGTCCGCTTGATGGACTGAATTTGTTTTTAACGAGCATACTGTCCTCTTTTTAGTTTATTGGAAGCTATCTGGAAGACTACTGGATGAGCGTAGTGAAAATTCTCGTTCGATTACCACGGTTAATGTAGGGCTAAATTAAAACTAGTAATACGTTGGAGACATCTAGGTTTTGTGTCAGGCATATACGCCTTAGATATTCCGTATTTATTCTACAACTTTTCATAAAATTCAAACTAACCCTATGAATTAACGTGTAGAGCTAGTCAAATGTCGCTGAATCTAGCCAAATCATTCAGCAGTCGGGTCACCGAATGCCGAACGGTTTACCGACCTCTTTCACAGTCAAAAACAACCAACGCACGCCAATGAGTTCCATGCCATAGACTGGCTCATTCAGTGGTGGTCGTACTCGATTCCTTGTACCTACTCTTACAAATATATTTTCGTACGACAATCAACGTAGCCATAGTAACTGGATACGACAAATGAGTAATCCATTCTAGGTACCGACCATGAAGTGTGACCTCGACGTTATCTGGTCGGTCACACCCTTAACGCCTAACCCCAGTAGGGCCTTAATCGTTCGATACGGACCATCTATGTTGGTGATCTACAAACGTCATGAAGGTTATTCTGGAAAATGACTTCATTTCTTCTTGAAACATAAAGTCGAAGGTTGTCTTTAGAGTTAATAGTGAGAAGTCATTCAAATTATGTCACTTTTCATGGACCTTAGTTGCATTAAATAACATTTTCTGGTAGAGAATTCCAATATTCACCACTCGACTTTTGTAACAAAAACCTGTAAGTAGATGATGTGGTTTGGGTCACGGGACTTTCGGCGAATCCCCTACCAAACGATCAATGGTAAACGAAAAAAGATGTACCCGAAATCGTCACTTAGTGTACGATAAGGGGGTAACAAATTACCTCGTAAATTGAGGTAAAATAGCAGGAATAGGCTGAAGAGTCTTAGTCTATTTTCATAAGGGAGATCAGTGAGACGCTTCACCGTATCGGTACCTTACCAATGATTTCTTTTATGCATATCCGCCTTATATTTGAAATATGGACTCCGACTAAACCCATAATGCAAAAGTACATCAAAAAAGTTGTGTATATCACCATAAACATCACTTCATAAGAGTGACTGAATGGCTTATGGAAAGCCTGAAACACATAATGCCTGTGAGGAAGATCCACCAATAATTCCATTATTTTAATTAACAAGGTAAAGTTTGTCGCTCAAGCAAGTGAGTGAAAAAGCAAAACACTATCCAATCCTGGCGAGGGAGTCTAGGTGTTGAACCACTGATCTTGTTTGGTCGTGCCAAAATTCAGTTTTCTCGTGTCAATGCTCCCATATCACTCTTGTTCGTCGTTGTATTGTATCTGAAGTTTTGTAGTTTGTGGTTGGATTCCAGAATCAGTGAGGATATCCAAAGGCATTATGGAAGATATTAAGCATTATTATTGTTTATACGAATATTCGTCAAGATTAGAACGAATAGTTTGATAGTAGTTGAGCGCCGAGTATAGAGAAGTCATTATACGTAAAAATTATATTTGAAATATTCTCAGCAATTGAACTTCAAATAATTCCAACGTTTCGTCCAGCTAACTTGGCTGGACTTCTTCAGGGTAATAATCAAAATCATCCAAGAAATATATAGCTTTTCAACAATCAGAATTATGTGGTGTTAAACCAATCATATTTGGGTGTTGATTTTTTGTAAAATATTATAAAATGAGTCAGTTAAATACAATTCATGTGTAGAATTCAACTACATGGAAATACTTAACTGAGTAACAAATCGTATGTGTGTGAGTGTTTAGGTATGTGTGTATGTGTGAGAGATTGTTATGAAGGAATAAATAAAGTTCAAGTTGAAGGATGAAAAATTGATAATGAATCATCGATGTACATGTCAAAACATAAATTGTATTGTTTAAAAACTCATTGAATTCATTCACAAATAATAACGATGCATACGATATAAAAAAACAGGTTTAAGCAAGAGAAAGGTTACAAATTTACTTGTCAAACGAAATTTGCCAGGTAGTTGTCAGTTGAATACCATATTTTCGGTTCAGGCTGTTCTTGTTCGCCCATATATGCAGCGCTTCTGCTGTCAATCTTTCTTTATGGGTGCTAAAACCTTTCTGGAGTATTTTGGTCCCTTCAAAAATAATCTTGTGTCCTATTTCTAACGCATGTAACGCTATCGCTGACTTATTTTCAAGTTTCTTCAAATCAGCCGATGATTTGGGAACATTTTTCAAACATTGTTTGTGTTCCTTCAATCTTACATTCAATTGCCTGGATGTTTCTTCAACATAGGTAGCATTACAGTCATGACAGCGAATCTCATACACAATGTTCTGTTGTTCTTCCTTTGCTAATTTGTCCTTAACTTTCACTAATGTCGATCTTAATGTGTTATTCGCTCTAAAATACACTCTTATATCATGTTTGTTTAGAATCCGTTTGATTTCTTCTGATGTTTCACTACGGTAAAGTATGACTACGGTGTACTTCCATCCTTTTCGTATACTTTCTAGTTTAGTTTTTCTTTCATTTTTAATAGTCTTTAAAAACCTTTTTGGGTAGTTGTTATTCCTAAGAGCAGAAAATACTTTATTTAATTCGGTTCGTTGGTCTTCCTTGTCTGTAACAATCTTGGTACTTCGGTTCATTAGATAATTTACCACATTAATTTTCGTGCTCTGTGAATGGGCTGAATTAAAATCCAGGTATCTCTCGGAATGTGTTGAGTTTCTGTAAACATTTATTTTTAACTTCTTATTATTGTGTCGACGTTCAACCAAACAATCTAGAAATGCTAGTTTGTGGTCAACTGATTCTAATTCCTTAGTTAGTTTAATGTTTTCAGAAATGCTGTTTACATTGTAACATAGTTCTTCCAGACCATACCGTTTATTGATAGTAAAAATATCGTCTACATACCTTAATCATAACTTTGGTGGACATACACTTTTTGAGATTGCACTAGCTTCTAGGGAATGCATGAATAAATTCGCTGCAATCGGAGAAACTGCTGAGCCCATTGCTATACCCTCTTTCTGTCCGTAAAGTTGACCTCGAAATATGAATAAGGTAGATCTTAAACATATTTCTAAGCATTTTATAACCGCCGATGTATCTAATGGGCACCGTAAATTCAAATCTAAGCCAGATTCTAAACAATCATTGATAATATCCATAGCTCGACTGATAGGTACATTAGTGAATAAGGAAGATACATCAAAACTTGCCACCATTTCTTCTTCTTCTATATCGATGGTATCAGTTGAATTCTTGAATTCCATAGTTTTTAACTCCATGATTAATCCGTTTTTCATATGGTTTGAGAATCTTGGCTAAATATTTAGCTAGATTGTAAGTCGATGAATTTGTATAGTCTACCACTGGTCTTAGTGGAGAATTATTGTTGTGGATCTTTGTTAGTTCATAAAATCTGCATGGGTTACAACTCTTTGGATATAACATAAACCATAAAAGCGATCTTAGCTTAGCTTTTAATGACTGTAAGAGTTTGCTAGTTTCTGCCTTGAGTTTATTAAGAGTCTTTTTGCCTTTTGCCTCTTGTAGATGTTCCTTGGCTTTCTTTTCATACTCTGTTTTATTCATAATAACTGTAGTATTACCTTCATCTGCTCTATTTATTATGATCGTTTTGTCATCTCTCAGATGTTTTAATGCGTATTACTCATTTTTATTTATGTTAGGGTTATGAGGTTTCTGATGTAATAATGTGTTCATTATTTTATTCCTCAGTTCATTCGCTGACTCATTTTATCCCATTTTACAAAAAATCAACATCCAAATATGATTGGTTTAACACCATATAATTCTGATTGTTGAAAAGCTGTATATTTCTTTGATGATTTTGATTATTACCCTGAAGAAGTCCAGACAAGTTAGCTGGACGAAATGTTGGAATTAGTTAATTTTCAATTGCTGAGAATATTTCAAATATAATTTTCATACTTTATTATCGTTGTTTATATAATTTTTATTGACATCGTCGCAATATTATTGTACCAAAGAACGAACTTGTCTCAATTGTCGGACAAACGGATCCCTGTATCACTGTTTGTCCACCAGTACTGGCATGGCATTTGAAAACAGTCAGTTACACTACACTTTCTTCGTTATGAGGACGTGGATATAGTAATCTCATGCGCAGCATACACAGTTTATCGCTTTATAGATACTTATTTAGCCGAAAGCATCGCACACCATGTCACCTATACTTGCGCTACATAAGCTTTATCAATCACAACAACTTATAATCAGTATATTTCAAATAAGTAGTTCTCTACCTTATGTGTACAACTATCAACCAGTAAATATGACTACGAATAATTGGTTTACTGCACATCGAAGCATCGAGAGTAGAGCATATCTTTCACGGTTATAATCATACTTACCAAATCACTGTCAGCTGTCTGCCTAGATTTATGTAAGTACTATTATTTTTACGCATGAAATAAATTTTGATAACAATTTATATGCATTGGTAGCATTACTGGGTTCTATCACATTCAGGTAACGACGAGGTCGAGTACATCTCCCTGTAACAAAGTAAACCGTAATAAACTTAACGAACTAACTGGAAATCGTGTTCGGATTCTTCCTCTCCGTGATCATATTTGTGTTCCTTCAGTTGGCATACTGGTACAAACGTGATCGTAAATAAATATATGCGGACATCTGACCGGCACCAACATTAATTAACCTTCTAATTTGAACCAAAGCTAATAGTGATATCAAAATTTCTATAATATTGGTTGTTTTTATTTTTTTAAGCATGAAATACTTGTACTGCCCGTAACTTACGCCTGCTGCCCCTCGCATAGTAGAATAGGTTATCCACCAGCATTATGCACCCAA